CGGAGCTAAATTCAGCGATCCCGACTCCGATCTAAATAATAGCCGAAATTCAGGGATTAAAACTAGGGGATTGATTACCTCGCGGCAGGAAGCTCGTATATGAAATTTGGGCTCAATCCGGCTTCCGGATACTCCGAAACCCTAATTTGGCTTATCGGGAATTCAAGAAATTCCTGAACCAAAAACTCGTTTTAAAGCTCTAAATCGATAAATCACGATGTATGGATGAATTAGGCATTACTTACGGGATTTTTGGATCACTAGAGCTTAGGATTTGAGCTTTGGAAATTCTCCCCAGTCGCTCCCCTGCATTTACGTATACTTATCTGATCGATCGATAATCCGATTTTCGTCGAAATAGTGTCGAAATGCTCGATTTTAAATCGTGAAATTTTCTAGCGATTGAAATATGGGTTTTGCCGGAACGGGATGTTACAGAATATGAAGCGGTTATCGCCAGCATGAGTATGGCCAAGGAGTTGGGCGCCCACAAGGTCCAAATCAGGTCAGATTCGGCCCTCGCCGTTAATCAACTCAACGGAGTCTTTGAAGTAAAGGAGGAGGCGCTGGAAGGGTACGTACGAAGAGTTCGAGAGCTGGGAGCCTGGTTTGGGGAAGTCTCCTTTGTTCATGTTCCACGAGAAGAGAACGCCCATGCAGACACCTTGTCCAAGCTAGCAACTGCATTGGATTTCGCGGAAGAAAGGAAAGTCATAGTCACCGCCGAGGCGCCTCATGAACATCTTGTCGCCGCCATACGCGACGTGGGCGCCCCCTCTGGTTGGATGGCGCCAATTGAGTTATTTTTTACCCAAGGCGTGGTGCCCGATGACCCGAAAGAAGCATGGCGCCTTCGCCGAAAAGCAGCACGGTGTTCCATAGTCGAGGGAAAATTGTACAAAAGGTCTCACGCGGGAGCATACTTGAGATGCATGAACGAAGAAGAGAGCAGGGGGGCAATTGAAGAGGTCCATAGTGGAACGTGCGACATGCACGCAGGGGCACGAAGCCTGGAGAAGACGCTTCTAAGGCAACGACATTCACATCTCGGCGGCGCCAATGCAAGGCAACGTGGGTGCCTGGCTGTTTGCTCAATGGGGCATTGATCTCCTAGGCCCATTTCCCAAGGCGCCCTGGCAGATGAAATACTTGATAGTGGCGGTCGACTACTTCTCCAAATGGATCGAGGCAGAACCTTTAGCCACAGTCACAGAAGCCAAGGTGCGAAAGTTCACCAAGAAGAATATGTTCACTCGATTCGGCTTGCCTGAGTCTATTGTCACAGACCATGGAAAGCAGTTTGATTGCAAAAATTTTGTGGAGTTTTGTGAGGACAATGGCGTCGTGTTAAGATTTTCTTCGGTGGCTTACCCACAAGCAAATGGTCAAGCGGAGGCGACCAACAAGAGCATCCTCCATGGATTACACACCCGGTTGGCAGGCGCCAAGGGTAAATGGGTTGAGGAACTGCCAAATGTGTTGTGGGCACATCGCACAACTTACAAAACTGCCACCGGGGAAACACCTTTCGCCTTGACCTATGGTAGCGAGGAAGTTATCCCAGTCGAAGTCAACATCCCAAGTTACCGTGTTGTCCATTATGACCCAAGTGACGACGACGAGGCGCGAACAAGCGACTTGGACATGGCAGATGAGTTAAGGGAGGCGGCAACAATCCGCTTGGAGAAAATGAAGCGACAAGTGGCGCGGTACTACAACAAGAAGATGCGTGCCCATGACATCAATGAAGGCGCTCTGGTCCTCAAACGCAACTTTCGCCCAGACGCCCGCGAGGGAAAATTGGCACCGAAATGGAAAGACCCATATCGAGTCAGGGAGGTGGTCAGACCCGGAACGTTCAAGTTAGAACATGCTGACGGCAAGGTGGTGAAAAGAACATGGAATGCACAAAACCTGCGACTTTACCGAGAGGGCGCTGCACTAGGGGAGGGCGCCTCCACTTGACCATGGTCAGTAAGGATACAAGGCAGTAGTAGTCGGAAGTGTTTGTTTATATAGTAAGTAGGTGTGTAAGCGCGTTCGTATTGTGACTAAAGCGCCCATTGTAACAGCGTTGTATCGTGTCCAAAGCGCCCAGTTTATAGAGCCCCTAACAGAGACTTCATGTTATGTCCGTGATTTTGTACTAGTTAAAGCGCCCAACTTTGCGCCCAATGATTGTGTGGAAATCGGTCACACTCGTGCCTTAATCGGCAAGGGAATACCTATTAAAGCGCCCTAAAGAACGCGCCCCTAAAAGCGCCCACAACTAGCGCCCACCTCCATATGTGTCGACTGCCAAAGCACTTTTTCTATTAAAGCGCCCTAATAACGCGCCCCTCATAGCGCCCACAACTAGCGCCCCTCATAAACGCACAATGATAAGAAACACTAGCACATGGCAATAAGGAACTCTCTAATAAAGGCACCCATCTATAGCGCCCCACATACATGCAGACATGCCAAGCAATACCAACACATAAAGAGAGATTCGGGGAAGGACGAGAAAATTGAACTCGCACTTTCATAATAGGAAATTGTTCACAAAAAAAAAAATTAAATACACAAGTCGACAAAATATTACAAGGACATCCATCACTCGGCCCCGGAGGTAGCATCCTTAGTATGGGGAGCTTGCTCGTCAGGAGATGGAAGCGCTTGATCTTCTGGAGTAGGAGGCGCCTGATCTTCCGGTGTTGGGGGCGCGTCTGTAGCGAGCGTTTCAGGCGCCCCTTCTTCCCCCTCTTCGCCGTCCATATCTTGAATGACAAACTCGACCATCTCGGTCACATCCCAGACTTGGTCGGGATGATCCCGCTCGAGCTTCTTCTGCAAGATGCTTAGACAGGTCAAGCAGGCGTTGGCAAACAAATTCTTGCTAGCCTCAGACTCCTCGAAGTTATCAAGGGAAGTCTTCAAACCCGCAATCTCCTTGCGAGCCGCCTTCAGCGCCTTCTTCTGCTCCTTCTGACCATCCCGGAGCCTAGCCTTGTCCTCCTATAGAATGTCGATCTGGCTAGCCTGGGCGCCCACCTCCTTCGCTAGCTCCTCCTTCTCGGCCTCGAGGTTGGCCACCTTCTCCAACAAACCCCTCCTCTCCTCCTCAAACTCGGCCTCACACCTGTGGCACTCCTCTTCCAAGGCTCCCTGAAGCCGCGAAATCTCCATGGCCGCCTTCAGCTGGGCGTCCTCGTGCTCTTGCATCAGCTGCTCGCGGCTCTTGGACACCGTTTCCATATCCTCCTTCAGCGCGGACGCCGAGCTTGAGGCCTCTAGCGCCTCCTCCTTTGCCTCCAGGAGCCGTCCGGCCCCTCTCTCCGCGAAAAGGAGAAGCTGTACCAGTAATACAATGAAGTTAGATGTATAAAAGACTACATAAGATGAAGGCAGAGCAAACTTGAAAAGCTTATAGGTTACCTTGGCGCCCACTTGGGCCAACTCCGCAAAGAGGTGGTCGCCGTTCACCTCGGAGGGCACCTGCCACATCTTCGCAGCATTGATGGCCAACCCCATGGCGCACCCGCGATCCACCGCGGACAGCAGGGAACAAGGGAGGCCGATGCCCCCAACATCAGTCTGCCGCGGACGAAGTACGGGCGGGCGCCCATCGGGGCCAACGTAGCGCCCCTCTTCATTCAAATGGAAGCGGGCGCCTTCTTACTCAGGGGGGCTTCGGACCGCAGCCTTGCCCTTCCCCTTATCACTCTCCCGCGCCTTTTTCCCACCACGGGGAAGGGGGGAGCCCGCTCTCTTCTCCCGCCGGACCAAAGAAGGCGCCTCCTCCTCCGATCCCTCGGTGCCCGAATTGTGATCGACAGCAGGCTCCTTGACGTCCGGCTCGGGGGCGGAGGACGCCACACTCGCGGTTTTGGCATGAGTGGGCGCCTTCAAAGTAGCCACTTTGGCGGGGGCTTTCTTCACCACCCTGCCTTTCTTCGGCGCCAGGGACGTGGGCGCTTGTGGACGAGCAACACCGGTTGCCGCAGGCGCCCCGGCGGCCATCATAGTCAGTCGGGTTTTGAGCAGCTTTCCGATGGAGCTGAAGTCTGAACCTGCACATACAAACGCAAAGGGTTAGCACCAAGGATGCGAAATGAACAAAAGTGACTACGAAGAAGGCGCCCACACACCATCGTTATAAAATTCTCTCAAAACTCTAAGTCGGCTTTCGGTGAGGCGAAGGTTAACCGAGTGCGTCCTAATAAGCTCAGCGCCCCGGGCCTCATCAGACGAGAGGTGGACCTTCGCGTTGAACCCCTCAATCTTTCCCAGCGCCCAGCGCCTGACAAAGGCGCCCCCACTCTCGAAAAAGGAATCCTTATAGGCTTTCATAAAGTAAAACCCATTGAACCAGCTACGCCCTAGCTTGGGGCACCTAACAACGAAATGGTATGGAAGTTTGGTGCGCTTCTGTAGGGAGAGACAGTTTTCGAGGTGCGCCACGGTAAAAAACCACCTGAAGAGATTGAAAGTGGGCCTCACATTGTGCACCCGGCACTTCAGCTTGAACAGAGTCACCACGACCATCACCGAGGGGGAGAGGCGCCCCAACAGGCACTCGCACATGGTCAAGATCCCTTCCAGGATGGGATCTATAGGAAACCGCAACCCAAACTTAAAATACTCCTGGTAGACGCCTATCCATTTGGATCCACACACTCCGACCCTGGAGATGGGCGATGGCGGGGCGTACCACCAGTCACGTGGGAGCTAAAGGCTGGTCACTATCTCATGAACTCGCGCCAGAGTCACGGTCGATTGATGCTCCGGGCCGGCCTCTTCGAACGGCAGGCCGGTGGTATCGGTTGGCAAGTGATCAGGGGGGAATGCCTTCTCCCAGGTGGTGATTTTATAGGAACCATCAGCCGGAACATAACCCAAAGTGGAGGTGCTCGCTCCTCCCGCAAACTCAGGCGCCCTATCTAAACCAAGAACGAACCAGGCGCACAATTCCGAGTCGAAGTAAGAATCTCTCTCACTCCTAAAGCCTACACGTAAAGTTAGAACTCTACGACATGGCGCTTACCAGAAGCAGAGGGGCGCTTGGAGGCGCCCGCGCCAAACTGAGAGGGACGGGCAGGAGTGGCGCCTGTGTCACCGCCGGGCGAGTGATGGGAGGCGCCCGCACCGGGCTGGGAAGGGCGCACAGGAGTGGCGTCCGCTTCATTGCCGGATGAGTGATGGGGTGAGGCGCCCGCACCAGAAGGCTGGTCTCTAGGGGAAGCCATTTGCTTGCTGAAGGAAGAAGAGGTGGCCGACGTTGGGGAATCTCAAAGCCGAGTGAGCAGAGCAAGTCTAGAGAGAAGGGAGAGCGAAAACGTAGAGAGAGAGTGGTTTGGGGAAAATGACAAGGAGAGGGAAGACCAAGCTATTTAAAGAGAAAAAGGGCGTGTATCAAGAATCGCGCCAACTGCCACGTGTCACCAAGTCACGGGTGGACCTTTGAGCTCCCCCTGGTTTTGAATTTTGAATTTTGGTCTTCAAAATTCAAAATTGGAATTTAAAAAGAATATTTAAAAATAAAGGCTCAAATTCCCGCTCGTGAAGGGGGCACCTATGACCTAGGCACCTTTCTTAGGCGCCTCCACCATGACAGGACCAAGACACCCTAATCGGGCACCTCCCCCAATAGAGGACACATGTCCTAATGTGGGGAAGGCGCCTTGGTACAAGCAAAATGTAGAGCGCATGCGAAAAGGGGGGCATAAACCCTCGGGCCACCGGCCGCGCGACGGATGCCCAGACGCAAAGAGGGACATCGGTAAAGCAAGAGGACTCGGCGGCCATTGAAAGTTGGGGACGCCTAAGAAGCACAAACGACCAAGCGGTAAGTTAGGCGCTCAGGTAAAAGCCATGAGCGCCTAACTGGGGGGCAATTGTTGGGGGTACAATTAATAGGGCCCAGACGAAGGCCCATAAAGAAGCCCGCTCAGGTGGCGCAAGCCTAAGTCAGTGGGCCAGAAGAGAAAGCTCACAAAGCCCACCTCACGAAAGGTGGCACTGGCTAGAAGACAAGGCGCTAAGAGGCGGAGAAGTCCAGGCTGGCAGGTGGTCCCTCGTCTCTGGGCGCCTGACAGCCGACAGAAGCCTGACAAGGCGGTTGAGGCTCCTGACAGAGGTAAGAGTACAGAGCATTTAATGCGATGGCGACGTCGAGGAAATCCACCTCGAACTCGGTGAGTATAAATAGGGGCAGTTGGTAGCATTTGCACAGGTTGGACTTTCTCACTTCAACTCTAGCTCTAAAAGCACTTCTCTCTCTAAGACACTGACTTGATCGTCGGAGGGCTAACGGGCCCAGACGTCCCCCTCTGTGCTTGTGTGTGTAGGCAGGCGCCAGATAGAAGGAACGTGGGTATGTCGGTAAGGCGTCGATGCTCAAACAGTTGCCATTTAGCACCCTATCTCCTCCCCCTCCTTCTCTCTTCCGTCCAACCAAAACCTGTTTAATGCCCAGAAATCCCTAGAATATTAGGATATGTGCAATCCAAAATTGACAAAGCCGAGAATAAAAAAACTCAATTCCTTTCTACTTAGGGATCCAACTCCCTAAATCCCATTGACTCCCAAATCAATTCTTAGACGAGCAAAGTACCAGGTGCTTGAATCGGCTGCCAAAGAATAGAAAAATCAAGTGAAGTACCAGGTGGTTTGATGATAGCTGCATACAACTCGTCGGAGGAAGGGTATCGAAGGAATTATAAGAAGAGAACGATGTGGAAGAGCGGACCAAATATTCTCGCTCGCCGTTGCACAGGGATTGTTGATTTTACCGATAGGATGGTGACCGAAGCTACAAATCATTGGCTCTGCAGTCATTCTGAGAAACCGAGGCAATCGTCCCTGAGAGACAACATGTCCGCCAGGGATGGATAGATCTTAGGCGGCCTCAAATTCCCCTTCTCAGTCGTCCTATTAGCCTTCATGAATGGGTGTTCAGCGAGGGAAAAAAGGTTCGGAGATGGAATTGTGAATAGAGGAAGAGAGCTTCCATGGCGATGAGCTCATAGGGTAGACTGGGTAGTGGAGAAATAAAATTATGTATTTTTAGACGCCATTAGAAGAATATGATATAAATCTTGTGGCCATTATGAATTTTTGTTTTTATAAATAATAATAAATTCTATATTAAAATTAATAAATTCTATATTAAAATTAATAAATATCTATGTGTTATAGTCAAACTTTTGATTTCGTCATGTCACCTAAAAAATTCCATGTCAACAACAAATGTCCCACGTTAGAGTCAACCGACGGTTAAACGGATGAAAAGTTAACAGATAGTTTATTATCTTGTTTTTAAAAGGTTTGGTTATTATTTTGTTTTAAACATTGCAGAATGACAAGGAAGAGGAAGCAAGTGACCAATGAAGGGGAAGAGACTCAATCTACTCAACCTGCAGGGCCTTACTAACAGTGGAATGAATTTCTTAACTCTTTGCTAATACAGTGCATGGTGGAACTTGTACAAAGACACCAAGTGAAGAATGGATCTTTTAAAAATGGTACATTTAATGAACTCGAGAGTATGATGGAAGAGAGGCTCTTGGATATGGAGTGAAGGTTGAACCAGCCATTCGTTCCAGACACAAGAAGCTGAAGAAGGAATTTCATGCAATATTATTGCGGTGTAATCAGAGGGGTTGTGGGTGGGATGAAGTAACTAAGATTCCAAATTTAGATGATGATGTGTTTGAAGCATTTATTAAGCTATATTTGGTAAAAAATATTAGTTGTTGGTTCTAGAATATTATGGATATTGACTAAACACTGAATGTTCATTTTATTTGCAGGTGCATCCTAATTGTAAGAATCCGAACAAGAAGCCTTTCCCTTTCTATGATGATCTGCTAAAGGTCTTTGGAATGTTTGGTCCTGCAAATGTAAGGAAGACACAAGGTTTGACTGATGCTATTCAATCGCCTGTGATACATGGACCTAACTTCGTGGATATGGAAGGAATTTAGTCACAATTCGATGCAGGAGGACCAAGTGGTGAGAGGTTCATTGAGGATATGATCAATGAAGGGATCACGATGTCCCAGAGAGCAACTGAGTGCCATGTGTCACTGACTCGCTATGACACAACTCCTAACAAAGGCCAAGTGTAACAAATGAAAAGGACTGCAGTATAGTGGCTCAAGTAATAAATATTGAATCCACGAGTCTCTAGAGTTTCTATTACTCAGCTTCAGTTCATTATCTAGCAAACAAGATTAAGATAGAACAACTAAAAATACTCTAGCAAACTACATTTAAAGTTAATCTAATTACAGGTTGGGAACTCACTTAGGTATGATTCCCCCTAGACACTAGTCATATTAATGATTGATGATCTCTAACCTATTTCACTTTCATTCATCATGTGGAGAAACGTTAACCAGACCTTGGGTCTCGACTAAAGGAACAAGGCCCTCTTGAGTCAATTGCCTAGAGGGACGTATCCTTCTCTAGAACAACCGATCAAGGCATTCTGAACTAAAATCCCTCTATCGAATGAGGTTCTCAATTGATACAAAGTATTGAATAAACCCTCGACTAAAGCAAACGATCCAATACTATCAATCTATGGTGCTCTATTGACCTAATCAGGTATTCGCTCTCATAGGATCAAAGTAGAATCAATAATCTCGACTAAAGCAGAATTGAATCATGAAAACATGCATAGATTGAATATGAACTCAAGATTATCAAGTAAGAGTAATCATACAATCATCCAATCAAACAAACATATCTAGGGTTCCTCAAAACCTAAGTGAAGGGAAGTTACTCCATAGAGAAGAGAGAGACTGCAGTAAGAATCTTCAGATGATCAGTCTTCAAGTCTGGGCTTGTTCCTCGAGCTTCCAAGACAAAGAAATCCACCAAGATCGCCCTTAAATCTCCCTCTCTCTCTTTGGTTCGTCCCTTGGGTGTTTGGGAACCAAAACTTAGCTCTCCCCCTCTAAAATAGCAGAAAACAGACTTATACCCGAGCAGGGACAAAAACACGGCCGTGTTTCGCAAGCTGTGCTTTCGTTCGCCCGTGTTTTTCATCCTTTCAACATTCTTCAAGAGCCAGCTTCGGCATAAAAAACACTGGCGGGGTCCAGATGAAACACAACCATGCTTTTAGGGTAGTCTGCCCGTGCTTCTTCCGCTGAACCTATTCCACTGCCTTTGATGCTTCATATCTCCCTCGTCCGGACTCTGAATCAGTCTCCGTTTGATCCCAGGCGCTCGTATTTTTGTAATATTTCTTTTAATGACAATATTACATGATTCTTTTTCCATAAAATCATGTATAAATCCATTCTTCTTCCGGACATTCCCAAGTTTCTTCTCCCTAATCGCCAATTGATATATGATTGACTTGAAACTTGCGCCTATGTTTCACTTTACATGCTAGGACCTGAAAATGTGACAAAGGATCACAACCTAGCGTAAAATAGGCCAAAGTTTCATAAATACCAAGCTAAACAATCAAGAAATGAGGGGTAAAAATATATGCAAATTCAGTGTTATCAAACTCCCCCACACTTAACTGTTTGCTTGTCCCCAAGCAAACCTGACTCAAACCAATGCAGATCTCCAGACCTTTATAGCAACAAACAACCGCGATTGTTGGTAGTGGATTTCTTAGATCAATTTCCAACTTACGAGGTCAACTGGTCTTCTAAGACGTCCCCTATCTCTCTCAATGCGAGTTCTAGACTCAAGCCAGGATAATGTAAGCAGTGGAACTAAGACAACCAATTCATGGATAAGGAGACTCATAAAATTTCACCACCAAGGACTCATCGTATCGGGTGCAGTTTTTGTGCACGGTCGACCCTTATTGGTTGAGCAGAGTAATTGCTGTACATCTGCCACTCGCCAGAGTACTTCTTTTAATTCCTTTTCCTCAACTCGTGTGGAGGGTCAATGAAATTAAGGTGTGTCGGAAGCTCTATTCATGCCTTAAAAAACACATCCTCGAGTAGGTAAATCGTTCAACGGGTGAAAATTTTACTTGTGCTAGAGAAAGATTAGCTTCACCTTGTAGGGGTACCCCACTAAAGATCACTAAAATCTCTTCCAAAACCCGATTTTGTGGAATGAACGGTGCCACACGTTGGGCTTACCCCATGTTTAAATTTTCAATTTTTCTGACATGGAGAACCAACTGCATTATCATTACACACCTGAGCACCCTTATATGAAACATGAGTCCACACACAGCAAGAGAGAGTCATCGATATCACATGAATCAAATGTCCTAAATACACTAGTTCACACAATCAACCGGCACAAAAAAACGACAAATAGGAAAAATCTTATACTTCAGCATCCTCCATAGTGCTACAACTACCTCCCTAGGTTGCATAGTACTATAAAGACTGTCAATTCAATGCATACCGAGCAGGAAATTGTAGGGAACAAGTACTTGGAGCCCTCAAATTTAAAAATTTGGACATTGGACTAGGCTCCAAGCACACACATACAGCCAAAAATTCACACGCATATATAATCAAACATCCCCCACACTTAAGCACGATATTGTCCTCAATGGAGGAAAGATAAGGAGGGTAGAACGAAGTTACCAAATCAAGTGTGAATGATGGTGGACAGGGCAGGCGGTGCATTCTAGGAGGAGAGAGTAGTCAGAACACAAAATCTCACAAAGGTTGAGTTATTAACTCTAAAATCAAAGAACAAAACTGTCTCAACCGAAGAGAAATAGGGAAAGAAATGCAAACCGAATGGTTGGGTTGGGATGACTTTATATATACACATGTTTTTATCCACCATTCTTATGCCATTTGAGCCTCATTTCTCGTATCTTAGGCCGATTTCACGCTAGGTTGTGGAGGCACTTAATTGAAACGTCATGTTTTGGAGCTCACACGGGCAGACTGGGATTCGACACGACCGTGTGGTCGGGAAAGTCTGGGGTTTAACCCAATTTTGGGTCTTTTGGAGAGGGATCGAGTTTTTGAACAAAAAACAGAGCTTTAGAGAGAGAAAGGGCGAAGAACAAACCCTAGGAGCTATTTGGAGTGGATTTCTCACCATTGAAGCCCAGATTGCATCCCCATGAGTGAAGATCGACATCCCAGAGCAGATTATCCTCATCTTTATGAGTATGACTACTCTGATTTTTGTTTTCCTCTCTCTCTCTATGGAGTAGAACCTTCTCTCACTTGGGTATGAAGAACCCTAGTTCCATGTGTTAGGAATCTTGATTCTAATGACTTGGGATTGATATACTGATTGATTTTAATCGATTGATGCATGATTCATTGAGTCAATTAAAGCCTGATCATCTTTTCTTGATTTCTGCTGCAACCTGAGATAGATAGAATCTGATTAGGTTGTTAGAGCTTCATCAATCGGTAGTGGTAGATTAGTTATACGAGAGTTAATCGATTTACTGCTTTGTACTGGTGTCCAATTCCAGTAGTGGATTTCTGCGTTTATTGCCTCAACAGTCTATTCCGGTGAAGGCTATTCGCCTACCGGTTAGTCTGTCTGAGAGGGCTTGGTCAGCTTAAGAGATTCCAAGCTACTGTCGGATCTTCTGCAGTTTAAGCAACAGTTAATCAACCCAGGGTAATTACAACCTTGACCTAACTAAGGAGCTAGGGGGACTCATTTCCGAGTGACTCTTCCCTTGATAAAGAACTTTGAACCATTTCCTACTTTCTTACTGCTTTCTCGACTTAGTTTGCTAGATAATAGATAATCACGGAGTAGGGAGTAGATCTAGACCCCGGGTTGACAAATAGAGCTTGCCACTTTACTGCATTTCCGGACTGCAATTACACTTGGTCACAGTTTGGTGTTGTGTTTTAGCGTGTCAGGTTGCCTCCCAACAAGCGTTTCTTTCACATCGTGAGCCGGACGGTGGATCCTAAGTTTCAGTCCATGCTAGAACCTCTTTGAAGTTGAGGTTCTCATCTATGAGGTAGAGTCTCAAGTCACGAGCATATGGCATGGTAGGTGATGAAGGCTCGTGCACTTGATGCAGATGAAGTCTCCACCCTCGAGACCTCTTCTTCTCTTCTTCTCTTGTCTCATTGCCCCAAACCAGATATGAAAACACCGATTGACCACCATCACGTCCACCAAGAGGAACCAATGTTGATGTGGCCTTGGTCTGGCAAAGAGACACTGCAAATGGGTCCTTGCTTAGCAGGTCCTCGAAGTTTGGTGGAGATATCACATTTAACTCATGGCCGATGCAAGCCTCTTCCACCTCAACTTCATCCTCGACCTGGATGCCAATTGCTTCTTCAACCTCCCTTCATTCTTCAAAATGTGGTATTACCCCTGGAAAAGGATCAAGAACTCCTGCTGCTTCACTTTCGTCATCCCCCACAACTTCTTTCCGCACCCTTTCTTGCTCTTCTTCTTCCAGCACGGATTGGAGAGCAAGTTGCCAAGCAATTTCTTCGATCAGATCATCTTGCATCTCCTCACTCATGCCCGCCTCTTCAAAGCTCAGTGTGGGATGTGGGAAGATGTGGTCGGCTACGACATGACATTTTTTATTATGATCATCACGGTAGCTCTCCGTGACTAACTTCTGTCTGCTCCACAATGTCTTTGTAGCCTTCGTCTTCCTCCTCCTCTTCTAGTATAGTAGCCGAAGAAGGATCTTGAGCAGAGCGTGCATAAGATTTCTCAAGATCCTCAAGGTTCTTATTAATGCTCTGGAGGATCTCCTCTGTTTCACGATAGTCCTGGGTACAAAGATCCATCTTGGAGTATGATCTCTCAGTGTCTCGAGCAAACTGCTCCACGAGAAGCCGCAATTCATAGTTTGGATATGGCCGTGGAGTGTAGCATGGCTCAGCAGAATGGCCTATGAAGGCCGCCATGGTTAACTCCAGCTCCGATGGCCCTTCTGGTTGTGGGAGAAATTCTTCTTGACAAGGAGGTTGTTCTTGATATGCCCAGGGGTCTGATTGTTCTCCGTAGTAAGAGGGTTGGTACTGCAACCCGAATTCATAGTCTTCTCCTCCTTGATTTCTCCATGAAGTCTCGGGGTAATACCACTCGGGTGGTGGTGGATACCCCAATGGTTGGAGAAGCCATGATGATCCATGATGCAGATCTGCACCAAGAAAAAAAACAAAAAAACACCCAAGTGAAAAGCAAGGGTGGAAAAGAAAAACAACAGAAACAAAAGCTAAATTAGCAAACTTCTGCCTTTCCTAATAATCTAGAAAGTCCCAGGCAACGCCGCCAAAAACTTGACTCGCTATGACACAACTCCTAACAAAGGCCAAGTGTAACCAATGAAAGGGACTGCAGTATAGTGGCTCAAGTAATAAATATCAAATCCACGGGTCTCTAGAGTTACTATTACTCAGCTTCAGTTCATTATCTAGCAAACCAGATTAAGATAGAATAACTAAAACTACTATAGCAAACTACAGTTAAAGTTAATCTAATTACAGGTTGGGAACTCACTTAGGTATGATTCCCCCTAGCTACTAGCCAGATTAATGATTGATGATCTCTAACCTATTTCAATTTCATTCACAATGCGGAGAATCCTTAACTAGACCTTGAGTCTCGACTAAAGGAACAAGGCCCTCTTGAGTCAATTGCCTAGAGGGACGTATCCTTCTCTAGAACAACCGATCAAGGCATTCCAAACTAGACTCCATCTATCAAATGAGGTTCTTATTCATTAGAAAACATTGAATTAACCCTCGATTAAAGCAATCGATCCAATACTATCAATCGATGGTGCTCTATTGACCTAATCGGGTATTCGCTCTCATGGGATCAAAGCAGAATCAATAATCTCGGCTAAAGCAGAATTGAATCATGAAAACATGCATAGATTGAATATGAACTCAAGATTATCAAGTAAGAGTACTCATACAATCATCCAATCAAACAAACGTAGCTAGGGTTCCTCAAAACCTAAGTGAAGGGAATTTACTCCATAGAGAAGAGAGAGACTGCAGTAAGGATCTTCAGATGATCAGTCTTCAAGTCTGGGCTTGTTCCTCGAGCTTCCAAGGCGAAGAAATCCTCCAAGATCGCCCTCAAATCTCCCTCTCTCTCTCTCTCTCTCTCTCTTTGGTTTGTCCCTTGGGTGTTTGGGAACCAAAACCCAACTCCCCCCCCCCCCTCTAAAATCGCAAAAAACAGACTTATACTCGAGCAGGAGCAAAAACAAGGCCGTGTTTCGCAGGCCGTGCTTTCATCCGCCCGTGTTTTGCATCCCTTCAACATTATTCAAGATCCAGATTCGGCATAAAAAAAACTGGTGGGGGCCAAATGAAACTTTACCGTGCTTTTATGGTAGTCTGCCCGTACTTGTTCCGCCGAACCTATTCCACTGCCTTTGATGCTTCATATCCCCCTCATCCGGACTCTGAATCAGTCGCTATTTGATCCCAGACGCTTGTAGTTTCGTACTCTTTCTTTTCATGACAGGTTTACATGATTTTTTGTCCATAAAATGATGTAGAAATCCATTATCCTTCAGGACATGCCCAAATTTCTTCTCCCGAATCGCCAATTGATCTCTGATTGACTTGAAACTTGCGCCTATGCTTCACTTTACATGCTAGGATCCATGGACTTTGAGGATCCAAATTCTTGGGCCTCAAGGATAGGGGTGTAAATCGGTACGGTATTGGTATCCCAATACCGAATTACACCCTAAAATCAATCACAATCCCAATCCCTAAATAATTTCGATAACCCAATATCAATCCCTAAATATATTGATATCCTAATCGATACTTTGTTATCCCATTCGGTATTATCGAATAAAGAATTAATTACCTTTGCAATTAATAATTAAATATATAATTTAGATTTGATTGTTTAATTTAGCGTTAATAGCATTTTGTACCCTTTTACTATTGCAAATTAACAAACATACCCCTCTATTAAATTTTTGCACAAACATGCCCTTCTAATATAAAAATGTAACGAGTGTACCCTTACATCTAATTATTTGTTAAGTGATCGTTAAAGAGCATGTGAAATTACTCAATTGCCCCCCAATTTTCTTCTAAACACTCCTAATTTTGAATTTAATTATTTTATATCATAAATCAAACAATTAATTAAAACAAACCCGTAAAGTAATTCACAACCACTAGACAAAAAATGTTCTGTCTCCCCTGCCGATTAATCCCACGACTCTACGATATGTGCTCCTTGCTTCTCCTCGTTGGCGGGACGAGACGCCTGGACGTGACGGCGACAAGACATCGCAGCTGCTGTAGCCATCCGCCTCTTTGTAAGGATCGTCAATGGCGGATCCGGAAAGAAGAGGGAAAAGAGGGAAAAGGAAATGGATAGCAACGAAGGAGAGTTCTAGTTTTATTGCTAACAGGCGAATTTGGTAAAGTAGTTGCAATTGACAGGTTGGCAAAAGATAACCAATAGTAAAGTGAAGCTCTTCTATTTATACACGCCTCTCTGTACACGTCACTGGCGAGCTGGGTTGTTACAAACCCTTCCCCTTCAAAGGCAGCTTGTCCTCAAGCTGGAAAGGCAGGAAATTGGTTTTTTAATTGGGCCAAATCCTCCCAAGTTGCATCCTCAGCTGTCTGATGAGACCATTGAACCAGCACCTGGGATACTGCTTGATTTCCTTGTTTAACGAACAGCCTGGCCAAGATATGAGAAGGCGCCAACTTTAGAGAACCCGAAGCATCTGTTGTAGGTAATTGCATAGCAGCAGGAGGTACAATGGAGCAACAAAGCTTGAGTTGGGAGACCTGGAAGACGGGATGGATCTTGGACTTCACTGGTAAAGAGAGTCGAGAAGCCACTGCACCCATCTTAGAAAGCACTCTGTATGGACCAAAGTAACGAGATGCTAGCTTGTTCCCATGGCGTCCAACAAGAGAACCTTGGCGGTATGTTTGTAAGCGGAGATATACCCAGTCATTCACTTGCAATACTCGTTCTGAACGACGCCAGTCTGCATACTACTTCTGCCGATTCTGTGCCTTTGCTATGTTGTGAGTCAACAGTTGAACAATCTGACGCTGAATTGACACCTTCTCCTCAATAGCCCCCACTGTGGTAGGAAGAATAACACCGAGGCCAAAGAAGGAAGGAGGGAATCCATAAAGGGCCTCAAAGGGAGACATTTGTAAGCTGTCATGGAAGTGGGTGTTGTAACACCACTCGGCCAATGTTAACCAAGCTAAGCAATCTTACGGTCTTTGAAATGTCATACACCTTAGATAATCTTCCAAGCATCTGTTGACCCTTTCCGTTTGTCCGTCAGTTTGAGGGTGGTAAGCAGTCGAGTAGTGGATATCAGCACGCTGCAACCTGAAGAACTCCGTCCAAAATGAGCTCGTGAAAGTCGAATATCGGTTACAGACAATTGTAGAGGGCATACCGTGGTGTTTGAAAACGCCATCGAAACATACTTGTGCCACCTCAGCAACTGTGTAAGGATGAGAAAGAGCAAAGAAATGGGTTGTCTTGGTGAACCTGTCCACAACCACCAACAACACTTGTTTACCTTGAGAAACCGGCAATCCTTCTACAAAATCCATACTAATATCACACCAGGCACGAGTAGGGATGGGTAAACGCTGAAGGAGTCCTCGTGAAGCAAGAGTTTCAGACTTGCATCACTGACACACTTAGCATTCTAAAACCCACAGAGTGACGACAACCTTCATACCTCTCCAATAAAAGTAGGATTTGAGTTGCTGGTACATGCCTTGAGCACCCGAGTGCCCCCTACGGGAAAAGAATGGAATAATTTGATCAACTTGGCACGCAAGAAACCCGTAGAGCCCACCACAATAGATCCTTTGTATCTAAGTATGCCGGCTGAGAATGACCACAAAGAGGGTCCGGAATTATTCACCGCAACAGCTGCAATCAACCCTGCCACTTCAGTATCATTCTCATAGGAATGTTCAATATCAACCAACCATTCAGGGAGCATCGATAACAGCGTGTTGCAGCCCCCCTCCATCTCATCTTCAAACACTCTAGACAACGCATCCACAACCCCATTATAACACTCTTTCCGGTATTTGATCTGGAAGTCTAATCCCATGAGTTTGACTAACCCTTTCTTCTGGATGGCAGTATGCACCTACTGGCCCATGAGAAACTTCAGAATTTCGTGGTCTATTACTATGGTAAATGAGCGGCCTCCAAGTAATGCCTCCAATGGTCTACTACCATCAAGACAGCCAAGTACTCCTTTTCATAGATACTCAGCCCTTGATTCCTAATTCTAAGGGCCTTGTTATAAGAAGAAGGGGTGGTCGTTTCGAGACAGCCCTGCTCCCACCCCTAAGCCACAAGCGTCAGCCTCCAGGGTAAAATTTTGTGTGAAATCAGGTAAACCCAGAACCGGGGCTTGGCTCATGGATGCCTTTAAAGTTTCAAAGGCTTCCTCTGCTACAGATGACCAATGAAACCCATTCTTCATAAGAAGCTCAGTAAGTGGTCAACTTATAATGCCATAGTGCTTGATGAACTTTCGGTAATAGCCTGTCAAACCCAGAAAACCTCATAACCCTTTAACTGAGGTGGGACGTGGCCAAGACTGCATTGCAGCAACCTTACTCAGATCAGTAGAAACTCCCTCCCTGCTAATGATGTGACCAAGGTATTCCACAGACGGCTGCCCAAATGAACAATTGGAGGACTTAGCATACAACTGATGATCTCGTAGGAGCCGAAGAGTGATGGTTAAATGCTGCACATGCTCAAATTCTGATTTGCTGTAAACCAATATGTCGTCAAAGAACACAAGAATAAACTTCCTCGGGTACTGCCAAATACATGGTTCATGAGAGCCTGGAACGTGGCAGTGGCATTAGTCAAGCCGAAAGGCATGACTCTGAACTCGTAATGCCCTTGATGAGTTCGAAACGTCGTCTTAAACAGATCCGCAGGGTGCATCCGCACCTTATGGTAACCAACCCTGAGGTCCAGTTTTGAAAACAGGACTGCCCCATGTAATTCATCCAATAATTCTTCTATATGGGAAATAGGAAATTTATCCTTGATTGTGGCTGAATTAAGCTCACGGTAATCCAAACAGAACCTCCAAGACCCATCCTTTTTACCAATCAACAGAATTGGTGAAGCATAAGGGTTGTGGCTCTCCTAAATGAAGTTAGCTTGAAGCATCTCGGCAACCAATTTTTCTGCCACATCCTTTTGGTGATGGGGAAATCGATAGGGGTGAATGTTGATAGATTTAGTATTAGAAAGTATGGTTATGGTATGATCAAAGGGCCGAGAAGGTGGTAGTGTGGTGGAGTGACAAACACATCATGAAACTGGTCGAGAAGGGGTTGTTAGAAGGCTGGAGGGGGAGAAGGGTCAGAAATAGGTGCCAAAGAATATACATAACCAGTAAGATGTGCTTGGGGTCTTTTTAGTAGCTGCTGAAAGTCCCTACCAGATATCAACTTGCTCTTCCTTGGTGAGCCCCTGCAATGTGAGTGTTCTACCCTTCCATTCAAAAGCCAATTGTCTCTTCTTCAGGTCTACTTGAAACGGGCTAATGGTTTCTAAACAATCTCATCCCAATACCAGATCATGTGCAGGCAACTCGAGGGTACGAACATCAAACCCAAACTCCTACCCTTGCATTTTCCAGATAAAGCCTTTGCAAACCGAATTGCTCAACAAAGTATGACCACTTGCTACCTTAACACGCTTGGGAGCTATAGTTTCTGTCTTACAATTAAGTTCTTCACCCTTAAGGGAGTTTAAGAATGTATGAGAACTACCTGTATCAATGAGAACCTCTCGTTTCCCAACAGTAGTTGGAATGAGTAAAGAATTGTCGGTGAACCATGACCCCCATAGCCTGCAGAGTCACTTCCAGCTCGGCATCCTGGAAATCATCATCTTGTTCATCCTCCTTGCTATATGAAGGAGATGCTTATGCTTTCATTGCTTGGTTTTTCTTCTTCTTGGAACATATATGACCATGGAAATATTTATCCCCGCACTTATAACAGAGACCTTGACCACGGGGAACCGAATTGCGATCATGAGAATGGGAATTTGGAAGAGGCAATTCCCGTGGCAGAGACTTACTCGACTGGGTAGAGGACGGGCCAGTCCAGTGACTGGAAGAGAGATTCCGAGTTTTCCATTTCCTAGCTTCAATGGCGGACTCCTCCAAGCGAGCTTGATATAAGGCGCAAGCTAACGTTGGTGGATGCAAAACTTGGACACGAGGCTGTATTTCATCGTCGAGCCCGCCAAGGAAGCTGAGGATGAAGTAGTGCTCGTTGAGTTCTGGATTCAAGCGAAGCATCCTGAAACAAAGCTCCTCGAATTTTTCCTGTTAGTGAGATACAGAACTAGTCTGCCTCAACTGATTGAAGGCGGCCACCACGTTCAACTTCTCTCGATCATCAAACCGGCGGAGTAACTCATCGACAAACTGACCCCACACCAATGGAGAACGCCAAAAAGACCATCCTTCTAACCAAGTATGAGCTCGACCTTCAAGATAGTAAGAAACCAAATCCACATTCTGATCTTCGGGAATCGAATAAAGCTGGAAGAGTTTGTTGCACTTGCTCACCCAGACATGAGGAACGGAGCCGGAGAAATAGGAGAACTCCAGGCCAGGATAGTGATCCAAGAGCGATTGACGCCTTGGCGGAGGACGGAATTGTAGATGACTGAAGAATTGTTCAGGCTCCGCTTGCTAGCGATCTCGCACCGGTGATTTCTCGCGGATGTGCGCCAAAGATGCAGTGAGCGCATCGATGTTCGCCTTCGTCAAAGAAGCGAGAGAGGCGATTGTGTCCTTCAAGGCTTGGTGTTGCGAATAAATTTTCAACTGAACAGTCGCCATCTGTGACTCCAAGTCAACAATGCGAGAGGTGTTCGTCGCCATTTTGCCGGATTGCAAGCGTCTGATACCACTTGTAAGGATCGTCAATGGCGGATCCAGCGAAAGAAGAGGGAAAAGAGGGGAAAGGAAATGGATAGCGACGAAGGAGAGTTCTAGTTTTATTGCTAACAGCCTAATTTGGTAAAGTAGTTACAATTGACAGGTTGGCAAAAGATAATCAATAGTAAAGTGAAGCTCTTCTATTTATACACGCCTCTCTGTACACGTCACTGGCCAGCTGGGTTGTTACACTCTTCCCTCGATCCCACAGCACTCAGCTTCCCGTCTCCTCCCCACGTTCCGAAGCCAGCTTCCCGGCTTCTCCTGCGATGATCCGATGCCAACTTCCCCATCGATCCCTCTACTCAATCCGCTGCTATCCCTCTGCCAGACCTCTTCTCCAAGCGAAGGCACAACAGGAGTCGTGTTAAAATTTTGACTTGTAAGGGGAGATAAATTGACAGCGGGGAATTCAGGGACGATGAGACGGAAGTCTCATTGTCGAGTGCCTGGGAATTAGATTAGGGTTTGTTTTAATTAATTAAATTATTGATTTGGGGCATAAAATTATTAAAACCAAAATTAATATGGTTAAGATTAGATGAGGGGCAATTGGGTTATTTCTCAACATATTTAACAGTCACTTAACAGATAATTAGACGGAAGGGTAAACTTTTTACGTTTTAATATTAGAAGGGTATGTTTGTGCAAAAATTTAATAGAAGGGTATGTTTGTTAATTTGCAATAGTTTTTTTTATTTTACAAAAGATAATCAGGTATATTGATTGAAACGAATAGATAGTTACATCCTAGCATGAAGCCAGGCAATGAAATCGAAAGAGCGACTAGCAGTCGGGTACAAGGAAAGGGCTTTTCTAGCCACCAAATGGGCAACCCTATTGTTACAACGACCTATAAATCGCCACTAAGGCCACTATGATTCTCGAGATAAAGCTCGACCTCCTCCAAGATTGCGCCCATCCGACTATCCCAAGTATCAGATTAATGAATCTTGTCGATAACCACCTTGGCATCACCCTCAAATCTTATCACTGCAAAGCCCATATTTAAACACTAGAGGATCGCCTCCCGAAGAACGAGCAGCTCAACCACCATAGGATCATCCAGATCTGGGAACTGAATCCCTTTTGCTAAAATGACTCACCCTGCCTGATCCAAAATGACCATTCCCCCTGCTGAATGGGAACCACCCTTGGTTGCTCCATCCCACTTGCAGACCCCACCATCTACTTCTCCTTCCGCTAGTGGCTGAGTTGGATGGGGGCTTCTAAGTTGTGAAAGAGTGAGGAATAACCAAAGGTTGTGTACTATTTCATTAATTTTTAATTTTTGTTATTTCTCGATATTTTGGTATATACTGATCCCAATCCCGTAATCTCAAATACTTAATAGCATTTCAAAATGAATCCCGATCCCAATCCCTTAATACCGGTACGTTATTCGGTATATCCTAAATACCGGTACCAAACATTTAGCCCTACTCACGAACTTGAAAATGCGATAATTAAGTGAGAATTGATCGTGAAGTTTGAAGTCCGTCATTTGTACCAACCTACCCTTCCTATTTCCTTTTTCTTCTCATACCAATGAGGGGAATAAAGGTTAACTTCACTTCATACTTACAGACCTAACTAACAACATCCATCATGAATTGAAATCTATGAAACAAACAATGGTGTTTTTCAAATCCATAATGAATAAAAAACCCTCATACAGGGTAAATGATAAGTTTGGTCACTGGGATCACTAAAAAGTTTCATGTTTGCTCCTAAAAATATTTTATTCCATTTGTGGTCACTAACATCGTAAGTTTTTTGTTAACGTGGCTAACAGAAATACTGAGTCGCCGAATTTTAACACAAAAAAATTGAAACTCCGCCCGTCATGTCAACCCATTAACTGATCTGACCTTCCTCACCAAACCCACCAATTAATTGATCCGACCATCCTAACCGAACCCTCCTTTCTTCCTACGCTCGAGCCATTTGTTGCAAGAATGTACCGTAATTGTTCTCGAATCTCTTTTTTTTTTTTAGTATCATAATTGTTGTGGCATCTCTTAGTTTTTTTTAATACAATACATCTACGACCACTACATACTGATAGGTATCATGCTCATATATTAATTGATCTTTGAGTTATTGAGACACCTGAATTCCTCACATTTCACATCTCCTTTAGTCGAGGCCACAAATGGTGAGGTGGACGTCGATTTGTTCTGATAAAGGAACCAACAAACCAAAACAATATAGCGTTGTTGGCATGGACCAGGATACCGAATCGTACTGGCCGGTTCAACCGGAAAAACCGGAAACCGGACCAGAAACGATACGGTAAGCTGTTTGTGAGCAGAATATCGTGCCGGCCGATTTTTCCGGCTTAACCGGTACAAAATGAAATATCGCCCGGTTTTGGTATAACCGGCGGTAGAATGTAGGCAGAAAAATGACGTCGTTTAGGCACATCAAATTATATATAAAAAAAAAATTTCGGCCAAAGGCCAAAATGCAAAAACCCTAATCTAATGAAAAGCCCCTTTCATAGTTTCTCTTTCCCAGCGCAGTTCCACCCCGCCCCGCCGCTCCTCCTCTTCTCCTCTGGCCACTGGCGACCTGCGAGCTGTGACCGGCGACTCGTGACTGGCGGCCTGAGACCGACGACTGGCAGCCTGCGACCGAAGACTCGCAACCAGCGAAAGCTCGAAAGCAACCCGCGACCCATGACCCTGATCCGCCGAACCGATCCCTGCTCTGCCACTATGTCGTTCGTCTTCTCTGCTCTGGCGAGTGGGGACCGGCGAAAGGTCATGCAGATCCCTGCTCTGCTCCGCCGCTCCTCTTCACTCCTCCTCAGCCCCGCCGCCTGCTCGAGCCTCCCTCCCCTGCTCAAGAACGCGAGACAGCCTGTTACTGTCGGTGGCGGTGACTGTCGATTTGGGGAAGGAGATAAAATCGCCGATCAGATTGACGGAGGAAGCCAGAAAAAGGTCGAATCTGCATCTGAAAGAGACTTTGTTCATCATGTAGATCTTGAACTGTGGGGGAGGGTATTGGTCGGCAGAGGGATATGAAGAGCTGGCGAAGGGAGAGCTGGCGGAGGGAGGGAATTGAGGCAATATATGATCGGGGAGAGAAATCCGCCGTTGGTGATTCTGCATGCAAGAATCGGGACATGGATTGATCCGTTGCCGCCGCCTCTCCGTTTCGTTATTCATCCGAGAAACCAATTGATGGAACACCTTGCAGCGAGCAGCCAAGGCCAAATCTCACTGCTTGATATCTTCTTTCCATCCCCTTCAGCTTCTAACTTCCCGGCCGTCACCAGATCTGTTGTCAATAGCATGCAGTACCCTCTCTATGTTTAACCAATTGGTTCATATTTGGTATGCTCGGAGGAAAAGGGGAAAGTTCTGTAATTAAGGAATGGATTATTGGTGAGAGAGAGAGGGAGGCTGGGAGGGAGAGAGACAGAAAGGTTTGAAGGAGAAGGAAGTTTCACCATCGAGTGGGTTTTAAACTAGTAAATTAAAATAATGGACACTTTAATCGTTTGATAACTGTTAGCGATATAATTAGCCTCCAAAGCATGTCATGTCGAACTCAAAACTGTGGTTAAATATTCTGGTTTATTGTGGTCCGCTAATTAATTTGTTTTAATGCTAACTAGGTTTGGAATTGTAAAGTTATAACCTTATAAGTGGATGATATATTCCGGTTTTATTCCGGTATTATTCCGAAACGGTATACACAATCTGCCGGTACGGTTTTTTAACAAAAAAATATTTTTTAATTATAAAAACGGTATTTTACCGGTACACAACGATTGAACCACGGTCGTACCATAAAATACCATACCACAGACGGATCCGGTATGACTTCCGGTACGGTTTCCTTTACCATGGTTGTTGGGTAGATCGATTGATATAAAAAACGAAAGGCAAAAGGTGTTGGGGGTATTGTGAACAAAGCCCAATGGGCGACAGCGTGGGCTCACAAACAGCCCAAATGGGGGGCAAGGCCCAAGCAAAAGGGAGGGGACATAAGGACAAGACACTAGAAGCCAAAGAGGGCCAGACTGTCATGTGGTCCAGCGTCTGCGGGCGCCTGTCACGTGCCAGGAGTCTGACAAGGTGGTTGGGATGTCTGACCAGAAAGGGACAAAGCATTAAATGAAGGCAGGGAAGTAGAGAAGATCAACCTCGAACTCTGGTGAGTATAAATAGGGGCAGTTGGTAGCATTTACCGGGGGGGGGGGGGGGGGGGGTCTCTTTCTCTCTAAACCCTAGTTGAGACACTTCTCTCTGAAAAGAAACTAACTTGGTCGTCGGAGGATTAACGGGCCCAGGCGCCCCCTCCTTGTTCGTGTGTGCAGAGTGGCGCCTAGTGAGAAGGGATTCCAGAGGACCGTACGAGGGTAGCGTGTCACAAACAATTGGCGCGCCAGGTAGGGGAATATAGCCAGCAGTCATGAGTGAAGAGGCGCCGATGAGTGAAGAAAGGGAAGAAATCACGGAGGAACAATCGGAGCGAATGAGAGGGCAGACGCTCGAGATGGAAGAGGGTGAGGAAAATGAGGGCGTGTTTCGGGGATCCAAGGGCGCCTCGGTCACTAAAAAAGAATTGTTCCGGATCATCGAAGATCAGGACGAGGCAATCGAGGCGTTGCGGCGGGAAGTGGACGCCCTAAAGAGGAGTGAAGGGATGACGCCCAGCCCGACAAAAAAAAGGGAAAGGATGGAGGAGACGGAGAGCGAATCAGGGTGTCTGAGGCGCCCCAGCCTATGGCGCCAATGCGATCATGCGGCGCCGGACGCCAATGGGTGGAACGGAGGAATCTAGGGACACCTATCACGCCATTGCCCCGTGAGGCAGCCTCTGGCACGTTGCATACAATCGGAGCCCGCAGGAACAAACATTCCCCCACTACCCGCCTATGACGGAACTGGAGACCCCGAGGACCACCTTAATGGATATTTCACCAAAATGCAACTCTATAACAGCACAAACGCCACCCTGTGCAAGGTATTTCCGTCCACCTTCGCAGGCGTGGTCCTAGATTGGTATCATCAGATCGATGAAGGGCGCATCGATTGTTTCGAACAGTTCGCAGCGATGTTCTTAGCAAAATTTGCCAGCAGGAAAAGGCGCTCCTTGACCATAGGCGCCCTGTTTAAGGTCAGGCAGAAGGAGGTAGAAGCGTTAAGGGAGTTTTACGAGAGGTGGCTATCTGTGGCCTTAGCGGTAAAGGATGCCCAGCCATCTGTGCTGGGAGTGTGCCTGAATGAGTGCACCTCCAGTAAGGAGCTATGCAGGGCGCTCGCAAAGAGGGACGTGGTGTCCACAGAGGACTTGGATCACAGAGTGCAAAAGGTGATTATGCTGGAGGAGACGCTAGCGGCCAGGAGGGCAGATCGGAGAAAGTCAAGAGCGGAGGAAGCCGATGTACCAACGAGGCCGTACCCCCCGAGTGGTTCGGGCTATGCGCCCGCAAGCCAACCCCCGCCAAGGAGAAGTGATATGGGGCGCCAGGCGCCTAGGGGGACTGGGCACTTCGCCGAGTACAACGACACTCTGAAGAACGTGCTCCTGCACGTTAAGGAGAAGGGATACCACATCAGGTGGCCAGGCCCCATGAGGGGACAACCCAATGAGCGGAACTTGGATCAATACTGTGATTTTCACCGTGAAATTGGGCACTATACGGCCGATTGTTATCAACTGAAAACAGAGCTACAGGGTCTGGCAGACAGAGGAATGCTTAATGACTTCATTAAGAAGCCTGAAGAAAGAGTACATCGGGCATGTGTGGCTGGAGCGGTGAAGGCAAGGGAGGAGCTGCCTCCCCCACCCTACGACCTGGATCAAGAAAAGGCGCCTGACTGCATGTGCCTGACCATCGAAGCCATCTCAGGAACAATGGATTTGAGAGAGAAGATAGAGGCAAATCGCCAACTGAGAGCAGCGTCGGCAGATGTGCAGGAGTCGATTGACATTAGCTTCAATAAGGCGCCGGAAGAAGCATGTATGCTACCGTCTATGGACTCCTTGGAGATACAAGGGGTAGTAGCCGGATGCAGAGTGAGGAGAATGTTGGTCGATACGGGAAGTTCCATGGATGTGCTGTTCAAGGATATGGTGGTTCGCATGCAACTATCGCCAGAGATGATCAGACCATCAGAGTCTGTGCTGGTAGGCTTTTCGGGGGCGCACGCCCGAGTGATAGGACGGGTGTGCCTGCCTGTCACCTTGGGAGATTGGGAGCAAAGGGTTACGCGCGCCGTAGACTTCGTGATAGTGGACTGCCCATCGCCGTACAATGCAATCCTTGGAAGGCCCCTCCTAGCCTTATTCAACGGGGTGGCCTCCACTTGTCACCAAACCTTGATGTTCATCGCCCCGCAAGGGGTGGGCGTGGCCCGGGGGCGAGGCGCCCCTCGTTACGCGAAGGAAACCGGGCGCAAGCGAAGGCACGGCGAGGCAAGAATCAATGTGATGGAAGTTGTGGGGGATGAGGCCCCGCGAGCGGAGGCTGCCAACGAGGAACTGTTGATAGCGCTGGAGGAAGGGCGCCCAGAAAGATGCGTCAGGATCTCGGCAGAGGCGCCTGCCGAAATGATGGAACGACTCATCGCGCTCCTAAGAGAATTCGCAGAGCTATTCGCGTGGAGCGCATTGGAAATGTCTGGCGTCAAACCCGAAACGGCCGTTCACAGGTTAGCGGTCGAGGAAGGCAGGCGCCCCGTGCAACAAAAGCGCAGGAACCTATCGCCAGAAAAGGAGGCGGCGCTCAGGGTCGAGGTGGACAAGCTGATGGGCGCTAACTTGGTCGAAGAAACTTCTTATGTTACTTGGTTGTCGAATGTGGTCTTTGTGCCAAAGCCGTCGGGCGACTGGAGAATGTGTGTGGATTACACAAGCCTCAACAGGGCATGCCCAACAGACGCCTACCCAATGCCCCGGATAGACTTACTGGTGGACTCCACGGCATACCACGAGATGTTGAGCTTTGTAGACATGTTTTCTGGATATCATCAAATCCCCATGACAGAGGAAGACCGGCCCAAAACAGCTTTCATGACACCTTTTGGAAACTTCTGCTATCGGGTCATGGCCTTCGGGCTCAAAAACGCGGGCGCCACGTATCAAAGGATGGTCAACAACGTCTTCCGGCAGCAAATCGGCCGAAATGTGAAGGCCTACGTGGACGACCTCATAGTCAAAAGCCAGAAACGAGAAGACCACATCGAAGATTTGTGAGAGACGTTCCAGGCCATGAGAGCGCATAGGCTTCGTCTAAACCCCCTCAAATGTGTGTTCGGCGCCGAAGCGGGAAAGTTTCTGGGATTCATGATCACCAAAAGAGGTATAGAAGCCAACCCAAAGCAGGTAGATGCCATTCTCAAGTTGACTCCCCCGAAGACGCCCAAAGAGGTGCAAGGCCTAGCGGGCAGGCTGGCAGCGCTGGGGCGCTTTATCCCCCGATCCGCCGACAAGGCCGCTCCCTTTTTTTGAATGCTCAAGAAGGCCGCGCGTTTCCAATGGACCACTGAGTGTGACGGGGCGTTTGAAGAATTGAAGCAGCTCTTAAGCGCCCCAACCGTAATGACGGCGCCTAAAGAAGGAGAACCTCTGTACCTTTACATTGCTGTGTTAGAAGTCTCGGTAAGTGCAGTGCTTGTCGCAAGAGAAGCCCACTCTGGAGAAGACAAACCAGTGTACTATGTTAGTCGCACCATGGTTTCCCACGAGAGGCGGTACGCGCCCATCGAGAAGGCTGCACTGGCAGTGGTGATGGCCGCAACCAAATTAAGGCCTTATTTTCAGGCCCACACCATCATAGTCCTCACCAACCTCCCTCTGAAATCCACGTTGGGGTCAATGGACGTGGCCGGGCGCCTTGTCAAGTGGGCGGTCCAGCTAAGTGAGTTTGACGTTAGGTATGCTCCTCGCCCTGCCATCAAGGCCCAGGTCCTGGCCGACTTCGTCGCAGAGGGTATAGCAGAGTCGGAGAATGGGACAGACGACCGCTGGCAAGTTCAAGTCGATGGAGCGGCCAGCCGTACGGGCGCCGGAGCGGGAATTGTGATGATAAGCCCCGGAGGCGCGATGCACGAGGTCGCGCTGCGATTCGCCACCTTAAAGACAAACAATGCTGCAGAGTATGAAGCGGTGATTGCAAGCATGACCATGGTTAAAGAGCTGGGCGCCCACAAAGTCCAGGTCAAGTCCGACTCGGCCCTCGTCGTCAACCAACTTAACGGGACATTCGAAGTAAAGGAGGAAGCGTTGGAAGGATACGTGCAAAGGGTCAGGGAATTGGGAGCCTGGTTTGGAGAAATCTCCTTTGTCCACATTCCACGCGAGGAGAACGCCCATGCAGACGCTCTCTCCAAGTTGGCCACCGCCGTGGAATTTGCAGAAGATCGGAAAGTCATAGTCACCGCAGAAGTGCCTCGTCGATATTTGGTCGCAACCTTGGGAAATGGGGGCGCCGACTCCAGGTGGAGGGCACCAATCGTACTATTCTTGAACCAAGAAACGGTGCCGGATGACCCGAAGGAAGCCTGGCGCCTCCGATGAAAGGCGGCACGGTGCTCCATAATCGAGGGAACATTGTACAAAAGGTCTCACTCGGGAGCATACTTGAGGTGTCTGGATGAGGAGGAAAGTAGAAGGGCAATTGAAGAGGTGCAGGGCGGGACGTGTGGAATGCATGCGGGCGCACGCAGTTTGGAAAAAACACTGTTGCGGCAAGGTTATTACTGGCCAACGATGAGACGGGACGCGAAGGCACATGTGGGCGCCTGCCACCAGTGCCAAATTCATGCAAATGATATCCATGTCCCGGCGGCGCCTATGCAGGGCAATGTGGGAGCCTGGCCTTTCGCCCAATGGGGCATGGACCTGTTAGGCCCTTTTCCCAAGGCGCCTGGGCAAATGAAATACCTGATCGTGGCAGTCGACTACTTTTCCAAATGGATTGAGGCGGAACCTTTGGCCACTGTCACAGAAGCACAGGTGCGAAAGTTCACCAAGAAAAATATATTCACCCGGTTCGGCCTACCTGAGTCCATTGTCACAGACCATGGAAAGCAGTTCGATTGCAAGAAATTTGTGGAGTTTTGCGATGACAATGGGGTCGTATTGCGGTTCTCTTCAGTGGCATACCCACAGGCAAACGGTCAAGCGGAGACGGCCAACAAGAGCATTCTCCACGGGTTGCACACTCGATTAGCAGGCGCCAAAGATAAGTGGGTGGAGGAGCTGCCAAGTGTGTTGTGGGCGCATCGCACAACCTACAAAACAGCCACTGGGGAAACACCCTTCGCCCTGACTTACGGAAGTGAGGCGGTCATCCCGGTGGAAATCAACACCCCAAGCTACCGCGTTGTCCAGTATGACCCAACCAGTAATGGCGAAGCAAGAACCGACGAACTGGACATGGCAGATGAGGTGAGGGAAGTAGCGGCCATTCGGCTGGAAAAGATGAAGCGCCAAGTGGCTCGGTACTACAACAAGAAAATGCGTGCGCATGGAATCACCGAGGGCGCCCTTGTTCTCAAACGTGACTTCCGCCCGGATTCCCATGAGGGGAAGTTAGCACCGAAATGGAAATGGCCATATCGAGTCCGAGAGGTGGTAGGACCAAGTACGTTCAAGCTAGAGCATACTAGCGGCAAAGGTGTAAAACGAACTTGGAATGCGCAGAATCTGCGAGTTTACTGGGAGGGCGCCTCCGTTTGATGAGGACCAAGAAGGCAAAGGGCGGTCGTAGTTGTGAGCATTGTTTGTGTTAAAGACAATTGTGTAAAGCGCAGTGTGTTGTGTCCAAAGCGCTCGTAAAAGTAGCGTCGTGTTGTGTCCAAAGCGCCCCGTGTTTCAGCGCCCGATTGTGACTTCATGTTTTCAATTCTCCTTTCGTAAGTAGTAAAAGCGCCCAAACTTCGCGCCCAGAAATTTTGTGTGGAACAAAGCGCCCGAACCTTGCGCCCGATTGTGTGTTTACAATTGTTAAGTGAGTAAGCAAAGCGCCCAATTTTGCGCCCGTCAAACCCAAAGCGCCCACAACTTTACGCCCTACGTCAGAACAATTATGCGCCCACATTTGCGCCCTCGAGACATGGCAATCAGTGATAAAGGAAATTTGCGCCCAAAACCACAAAGCGCCCACAATACTCGCGCCCAAATACGACGATAACGCGTTAAGTAAATAATCCAGCAAGCATGATCGCAAAGTCAGAAAGAGCATTTTTATTATACGCAAAAGGGAAAGAGTCAACAAAAACCTACAAAGGAAAATAGGGCGCCCATTCGCTATCACTCAGCGCCTGAGTTGGCATCATCAGCGCTAGGCGCCTTGGGAGAAGGAGAGACGGGAACAGAGTCATGTGGAGGCTCCTCCGCGTTTGATGGCTGGGGCGCATTCCCCGCTTCCGGTGGAGTCTCCAACTCCCCGATCACATACTCGGCGATTTCGGTGAAATCCCAAGTAAGATCAGGGTGATCCCTTTCCAGCTTGCTGTGAAAGATTTGGAGGTCAGACAAAATGGCACTGGCGCTCATGTTCTTCCCAGCCTCGGACTCTTCGAAGGTGTCCAAAGAGTGGCGCAAGTTGGTGATTTCTTTCCGCGCCTCTTCCAGATTCTTCTTGCAGTCCTTGTAGGTGTCCTGCCACCTCTTCTTCTCCTCCTTGAGGATGTCAATCTCACTAGCCTGGGCGCCTGCCTCCTGCACCAACGCCTCCTTCTCAGCCTGAAGGGTGGCTGACTTATTGCGCTCTTCATCGAGGGCGCCCTGAATCTGCGACACCTGCAGGGCCGCATTCATCTGCGCCTCCTCGCATTCCTTCACGAGTTGCTCGCGACGCTCGGTCGCGTTCTCCAGGTCATGCTTGAGGGAGGAAACAGAAGTAGAGGCTTCGGCGCCTCCCGCTTGGTTTCAGAGAGGCGCCGGGCGCCTCTCTCAGCAAAAAGAAGAATCTACACACACAAAATACAAAGAGTTAGCACTTATGCAAAGTTAGTATAAAAAAACTCAAGAACACAAACAAAGTGGAACATACCTTGGAGCCAACTTTTGCCAGTTCAGCAAATAGGTGATCCCCATTCACCTCCGACGGCACTTGCCACATCTTGGCAGCCGTAATTGCCATTCCCATGGCACAGCCCCTGTCGACAGCCACCAGTGGGGAACATGGCAGCTCTATGCGCCCAACGTCGACGCGTGTGGGCTGGAATATGGGGGGCGCCCATCGGGGCCTACATACTGCCCCTCTTCGTTTAGGTGGTATTCGAAGGCGCCCCCTCCCCCGCTTCGGGCGCCGGCGCCCATCTTTTCCTTCCCTTTGTCAGCCCTCTTGCTGACATTATCCAAGGGGGAGCCAGCCCGCTTCCCCCATCTAATCAAGGGCTCGGGCTCTTCTTCCCCGGAGTTCCCCTCCTGCTCCGAGGGCTCCGTAGTGGGCGCCTCAACGTGGGGCGCTTCTTCCTCCTCCTCCGGTGCCGAGGATGCCACGCTAGCAGTCTTCGTGGTACCCCCCTTCACCGCCCTCTTCTTCTGCTTCTTGGGGCCAGAAGCAGGCGCCTTCGGTTCCGAAGCACCCGCAACAGGTGCCTTGGGCCTTGGTGGGGGCGCCCCTCCAGCCATGGCAGCAAGACGACTCTTCATTAGCTTCACAATGCTGGTGAAGTCTGATCCTGCACATCGCTAAGTAAGTTAGCACAAAAGCAAAATTCATTAAAAACAGAGTCACAACAAAGACATTGACGCAATATATGGGCGCCTACAGACCATCATTATAATACGCCTCCAAAATTGGAGGGCGATTTTCAGTCTTGCGCAAGTTTACGCGTGTCTCGCAAATCAGACGGGCGCCGTCCTTTTCTGCGGGAGATAACTCGACGGGCGCGTTAAACTCTTCAACGCTCCCCAGCCTCCACTTTCTCAGGAAGGCGCCCCACTCTCGAAGAACGAGTCTCGATACGCCTTCATGAAGAAGAACCCGTTAAACCAGCTGCGCCCCAACTTCGGGCACTTCTCCACAAAATGATTGGGGCGCCCTTTCCTCTTTTGAAGTGATAAGCAGTTGTCAAGAGGCGCCATCTTGAAAAAATACCGAAAGAGGTTGAAGGTAGGCTCCACGTTATGTTCGCGGCATCTCAGCTTGAACAAGATGACCACCACGATCACCGAGGGAGACAGGCGCCCCAATGGGCAGCCACAGGTCGTCAGAATACCCTCCATTATGTGGTCGAGTGGGAACCGCAGCCCGAATCGGAAATATTCTTGATACACCCCTATCCACTTAGGCCCGCAGACGCCCACTCGTGAAATAGGGGAAGGAGGCGCATACCACCAATCACGGGGTAGTTGGAGACTGGTCACCAACTCATGAACACGAGCCAAGGTGAGGGTTGAGGTGTGCTGTGGGCCCACTACGTCGAAAGGCAACGAGTCCGTCTCCTTCGGGAGGTGATCGGGCGAAAATGAGTTCTCCCACACGGAAATCTTGTACTACCCATCGGCAGGCATGAAGCCAGGAGTGGAGGCGCTTGATGGACCCGCGGACGTCGACGCAGGCGCCCTCTCTAAACCAATAAACGACCCAGGTGCAATGTGGACGCGGAGTAAGTGACGCCCTACCCTAGATAGCTAGAATAAAGACAAGGAAAGCAACTAATAGATCAAGGAAATTCCTTACCACTTCGACTTGGGCGCCTCGCTTCGCCACCCGCATTCGAGGCGCCTGTTCTTGCCTCTTCACCCGCAGTGGGGGCGCCCTGGCCGACGACCTTGTCTGCTTGCGAAGACATTCTCGGACGAGTAGAAGGAAAAGCTGACGAAAGCGCAGAGGAATCTAGAGAGATGTCAGGAGAGAATCTAGAGTGAAGTCAGAGCGAAAATTCTAGAGAGAGGCGAGAATGTGGAAAGTGACAAGGACTGAAGGGGAGGGGGGTATTTAAAGGAAAGGAGCATGTGGCAAGACGCGCGTCGCGCGCCACGTGTCACCATCAAGGGCGGGCTTTTGAGCTCCCCCCCCCCCCACCTTTTCCTTTTTGTTAGAATTTTGGCCAGATTTAAGATCCTCTTTTCGAATTTTTTAAATTAAATTCGAAATATTTTTCAAAATTCAAACAAGAAAAACGTGGGAGCCGATATCAAACACCCGCCCGTGAGGAGGCCATAAGGGATAGAGGCGCCTTGAATCTGGCGCCCGGAAAGAAGCCGAATAAGGGCGTGTTGAGAGTGAGGCGCCCAATAAAAAAGGAGGAAGAGAAAGAAGGCAAAGAAGACAAAACAGGGAGGCCGAGCAAGCTGAAGTCGGGACTGAAGTCGGAATAGACAACACGACAACAAATGGCCAATAGAGAAGTCGGACACCATAAGGACGGACGCACTCAGGAAGCTGGGCGCCTGCTGACTAGAGGAAGGACAAGACAACAATAACTGAGTCAGCTAGGCGCTCAGAAGCAGAGCTTTGAGCACCTGGCTGGGGGGCAATTGTTGGGGGTATTGTGAACAAAGCCTTATGGGCGACAGCGTGGGCTCACAAACAGCCCAAATGGGGGGCAAGGCCCAAGCAAAAGGGAGGGGACATAAGGACAAGACACTAGAAGCCAAAGAGAGCCAGACTGTCATGTGGTCCAGCGTCTGCGGGCGCCTGTCACGTGCCAGGAGTCTGACAAGGTGGTTGGGATGTCTGACCAGAAAGGGACAAAGCATTAAATGAAGGCAGGGAAGTAGAGAAGATCAACCTCGAACTCTGGTGAGTATAAATAGGGGCAGTTGGTAGCATTTACGCGGGGGGGGGGGGGGGGGGGGGGGGGGGGGGGGGGTCTCTCTCTCTAAACCCTAGTTTGAGACACTTCTCTCAGAAAAGAAACTAACTTGGGCGTCGGAGGATTAACGGGCCTAGGCGCCCCCTCCTTGTTCGTGTGTGCAGAGCGGCGCCTAGTGAGAAGGGATTCCAGAGGACCGTACGAGGGTAACGTGTCACAAACAAAAGGTAAAACAACAAAATGGGGCAAATGTGGATGGTAAGCGTGGAACTGCAGTAGGCTAAAGCCTCAAAAGCCTAGAAAAACAACGTGAAAGGGAGGGATGCCATTTGGAAAGGACAGCATACCCACGATTTAAAGACACCCTCTCCCTTCTTTAGATGCGTAATTGCTTGTTAGTGTCCTAGATTGTTCCAAAGTATCACGTTTGGACTCCTCAATTAGGATCTCAACGAATTAAAGTTTAACTAACTATCTAGATTTGTTTTTCTCTCAATAGGTGACAAAAAAAGGACGAATAAGAAGGTAGGAGGAGACAGTGTAGAATAGTACAAGACATTATAGATCAATTAACAATTATGATAAATTTATTGTGTTTAACTTGTAAAAACTACTAGTGCAATGTGCTTTGCGTAAGTGAGTGTTCCTAAATTTTTTGTTGATATTACTAATAAGAGGGAGTTCATCCGCCGAGACTCAAGTCACATCGAATCTTGCAACAATCACCAGACAATCATATGAATACCAAATAGAGAAAGTTAGCCCTTGTCAACGAAATAATCAATAACAATGCATATAAAAGAACAAACATCCCATTAAACATTAACAAATCAACGTAATACTTCAAAATGATTTTGAAGAAGGTGTTGACACCTAAAATTAATTTGGCCTGAATTAAATGCCGTATTAATTAGTCTCGGTATTTAATTCGATACCGCTGGTAAAAAACGGTGTCGCATAGAGACAAGCGGCATCGCGGAGAGTTAAAACGATACAGCGAAACAGAAAACGGTACCGCAAGGAAGCTCATCTGTATCGCGGCACTGGAAACGACATTGTTTACCAGAAAACAGGATGTGGGCCGCGCGCGTTGTATTGGTGTTGGAAAAGGAGTTGTTATTATTATTATTATTATTATTCCTTATGGGAAGGGGAGAAGCGGTACGGATTGGAGACAAGCGGCACCGCGGAGAGTTAAAACGGTACCGCAAGGAGGCTCAGCGGAACCGCGGCACTGGAAACGACACCGTTTATCGGGAAGCAAGATGTGGGCCGCGCGTTTGGTATTGGTGTTGGAAAAGGAGTTTTAATTATTATTATTATTATTCCTTGTTGGAAGGGGAGAAGCGGTACCGCATGGAGACAAGCGGCATCGCGGAGGAGTAAAACGGTACCGCGGATTTAAAAACGACGCCGCGAGAGACCTTGATCAGCGGTGCCGATTATTTAAAAACCATATCGGGTAAGTGATTGGCCAAAAATCCGCCCAGCCCAAACGTGCAAAATCGCGGCAATTGGTGTTTCTTTTTATTATGTTAGGCGGTGTGTTTTAATTCAAAACGGTACCGCGGGTAGGCCCAACGGTGCCGCTGTACTAGCGAACGACAGTATTTAAGATAAAAAACAATGTCGCGAAAGGAAAAGCAAACGAAGCCGTTTTGACGCTAATGATGTCGTTGGTCAACACACGAGTTTGACCAGAGATGGCCGGATTAATTAATTAATATTTTTAACGACTATATAAGACGGTGTTGTTTAGTTGAAAACGATGTCGCAAGAGGAAAGAAACGACACCGCGAGTAGTCCAAACGATGCCGCAATAGTTAAAACGACAGTGTTAAAACGGCATCGCGAAGTTCAACAACATCGCAGATCTAGAAAACGATGTTGTTTAATTAAGAAAGGCGCCGTGAAGTGAGAGTTTGACGGCTTGTCAACAATGATGGCCGGTTTAATTAATTAATATTTTAAGGATTATTTTAGACGGTGTCGTTTAGTCGAAAACGACGCCGTAGGAGATATCAACACCGTCGCGGTACTGAAACGATGTTGTTTAATAGAAAACAACGTCGCAGTGGCGAGAGTTCAGCAATTGTGGATTTTGGCTGGGTGTCGTTTTGGCCAAGTTTCCGCGTGTCCAAGCGGTTTCACACTCGTGGGAGTTACGCAACAAGGAGGAAGTTACCTGCACGGTTGACAGGAATGAAGACTTGGGAGACAAAGGCGCGAAATCAGTTACTACGACTGCGGGGAGAATAGAGAAGTATAAAGATTGGGAAGAGAGAGAAGCTCGAGACGGCAAAATCAAATCACAAACTGCATTGTCGCAGGATTTATCTTTTTCTCTCTAGTTCGTAGAACTACTCTGTCAGAGACCTCCTTTGCAGAGTCGTAGTAGTTGTAGTCGTAGTCGCGGAGCTCTCCAGAGGAACCTCCATAGGAGTAGAGGTAACGTAACTTAGAACACTCTCGGTTTGGTTTCTCGTTTCTCGTTGAACACCCTCGTTCGAACGTAGTTTGGAGAGGTGGTGAACCGAGTAACGGTTGTTCTGGTTAGAGGTCAAAGGTGCATCGATCAAATCAACATCGCCGACGACGATGGTGGATATTTGACGGTCGTCTTGATTTCTGTGTAATCGATCAAATCAACGGCGCCGACATTCGGCGGCGGATATTTGACGATTTTGCTGACTTTGTGTTTGTGCTTACTTGAAAACAGTGCGCATTGAACACGTGAGTTTCGCCAACGAAACAGAAGGTAATTTTACAATCGAACTCCAGTACTTTGCAACTTGTCAGACCTTCTCCAACTCGAAGAAGGTAAGTACTTGGGGTGGCACCAAAAAACAAATTGAAAAGAGAATCCTAAACCTAAAAGGCTAAAATCGTCCCCACCTTCCATACCATGGTAGCACATACCCCATTGGTAGTGATGGCAATGAGGCGGGCGGGGCGGGGCGGGTATCTTAATACTCATGTCCCGCCCCCACTACTACGGATCGGGACGGGTAAAACCCATGTGGATACGAGGCGGGTCGACCCACAGTTACATATTATTTGACAAAAAACATACGCAAAATTTACTTTTTATGATAAAATGAAGGGAAAAACACTTTATTAATGAAAAATAGTGATAATAGAATGAGTAATTGAGTCTAACCAGTTGAAAGATGGACTCTATCAATTGAAGAAAAGTCAAAGTAAGAGTAATATGTATAGATATTGTAAAAGTTAGGTAGAATGGGCCAAGAACGGGGCGTGGCAGGGCGGGTAGTAGATACCCATGCCCTGCCCGACGGTACTGCAGGTCGGGTAATACCTGCGGGGCGGGTTCAAATTGTCATCACTACTAGGGCTGGGAAACTGTGCGGTCTGGTCCAGACCATATCATATATACGGTCTATGGTCCAGACCGAGAGGCTGAAGTATAGACCATAGACCAGACCACAAACTATACGGTCCGGTACAGACCACGCCTGTGCGGTCTGGTTCGGTCTAGTCTGGTCCAGATAGACCACACTCAACGAAAAATGAATAATTTGTTTAGTCAACCACACAAAAAATTGAACCAATAACCAAGAAAAATCATTGTTATTTTCCTTAACACGTTAATCCTAACCTGCATGAATAATTTTGATACCCTAAATCTTAGTACATAAAAAAATACAATGTAAAAGCATCCCAACTTGCACCATAACGTCATAAGCATTAACATAATGTCATATGAAGACACAATTATCTCTACTCTCTGGTTAAATGTGGTTGTGAATGAAGGAGGGACGAGATTCACAAAACTAAGGTTGAGACTTGGGTGTCGTTGTAGGAGTTAGGAGAGTGGTTGAATGGGTTGTTAACACGTATTGACAAGTCAGTTGGGTCCACGGTTTGGTCCGGTAAACCGCAGTCTAGACCAGACCAGACCAAGAAATCAAAACATAAAGTAATACAGACCATGGACCAGACCAGACCATACTTAACGGTCTACGGTCCGGACCAAACTTTTACGGTACGATTTGGATCACGGTTTTTCTAACGGTCTGGTCTATTTTTCCAGCCCTAATCACTACCATTGACTGGCCGGTGCCGCTTATGCCCCCCCCCCCCCTGCCTTCTGCCCTCTGCCCACGCTTTCAACTCTAATCAAAATCAAATCCTGGAAAAAATCAGTTCATCTCCTCCCAACGCTCCCATATATCTATCCTACAATACAATAGTATCATAAGCAAATACTCCTCCACCTTAGAAACAGTCCAAAAGAAGCAACATTGGCCAGTAGTAGCATAATTAGTTTATGTTAGTAGCTAATCCAATCTATCTCTTTCCCCGTGTTGTGTTCTGGCTAGGGGAATGGGCTCATGCGCATGCACATTGAGGAACAAATCCTCCTCTTATCTAGCAGAATCTTTTCTTCCAGTTCCTTAATCTATACCTCTTCTTTTGTTCTTTTTTAAGTCTCCCAAATTTATGGTCTTGCCTACAGTTGGTTGTGTGATGCTACTTACCTGATTTCAGGCGAAGCTTCCAACCTCTACGGATTCTAGGGCTGGCTATTTGGTCGGGGACCGGATGAAAAATCGGAAACTGGATCGTTTAAGACCAGGCCCGATTTAAAACAATCCAATCTCGTCTTTGGTCCCATAATTAGTAAAAAAACCCGGACCAATCCAATCCGGGTCAAAACCGTGTCAAAACCGGAAGACCGGATAAATAATAAACAGACCCAAATGCAAAGCCCAGGCCCCAGATGAGCCCAACCACTCGGCCCACTCCCCCTCCCATTCAGCCCAGCTGAATCCCAATGTACTGTAGGGTTTCAAATTGCAACTTGGACACGGACAGCACACAGCAGTGCAGCCAATACCTCTCAATTATCTCCCCTCTGAATCGGCATCGCGGCCGAGCCCGAGCTCCCTAACCCTACACCATCTCAGCAGGCGGGCGGCAACCACCTACTCTCCGAGACCCAGCATCTCATCGTCGCCTCGTCGGTCGGATCCGCGCCGTCACTCGCCAGCATCTCGCGATGCGACGTGACGTGACCCAGCAGCAGCGAGCATCTCATCAGCCAACATCTCGTCGCCACTCGCCAGCATCTCGACGTAGCGTGACCCAGCAACAACCCGCATCTCGTGACCCAGAAACGACCCAGCAACTCGTCGCCCTCCAACCAGCACAGCAGCTTGAAGCCGTTGAACCTTGAAAAATGGAGGGGAGCAGCAGCTGGGTAAGTTATTTAGGTTATTAGTCATTAGTTTTAATTTAATGGTGGAATTTGATGACTTAGAATAGTGGAAAGATGGTGGAGATGATAATTTGCAGTAGCACCTTTGTTTTGATAATAATTTCGGTGGAAAGATGGAGGGGAATGGGCAGCAACACCTTAGTTTTTGGTAATTAGTTTTGATAATTAGATGGAAGGGATGATAATTTGCAGCAGCACCTTAGTTTTGGTAATAAATTTTGGTGGAAAGATGGAGGGGAATGGGCAGCACCACATTAGTTTTTTTTGTAATTAGTTTTGATAATTAATTGGAAGGGAGAAAAGTGCATTTTCTGATATTGATTGAATTGTGTTGTGCAGGGTACTAAGAAGCGAGTACCGACATCAAGAGAAGGTGATAATTTGCCTCCTCTTCCTAGTAAGAAGCGATCACAGCCACAAGCTTCAAAGGAAGCTGTTGAAAGTGGTAATAACAGTGGAAATGTTAATGTTCAAGCTACTACAACTCAAGAACAAGAACGGCCAGCAGCTACCAACACCACAACAACACCTGTAACGGAGAAGAGCGGTAGGGAGTATACGTTAAGATCACCTGTATGGAATCATTATGATTGTTACAAAGATGCTAAAGGCAAGAAGAAGGCAAGGTGTCATTACTGTGGAAATTCATTGGCTGGGGATCCCTCGGGAAATGGTACAAGTACTTTGGGTAGGCATACTCAAAGGTGCTTAAAGAAACTACAATAAAAGGGGAAGCAATTGAATCTAGAACTCAATCCAAGTTTTTTTGAAGGGCAAGGAGTTTTGGGGACTTGGAAATTTGATCAAGCATTTATCAGAGTTGGGTTAGTTGAAATGATAACTCTGGATGAAATGCCTTTTAGGTCCGTGGAGAAAGAAGGCTTTAAGCGCTTCATGGCACGTGCTTGTCCAATGTTTAAGATTCCAGGCAGAAAAGCAACTAGAGAAGAATGTTTTAGATTGTTTCTTGAACAGAAGGGCAAGTTGAGAGATTACTTCAAGATCTAGTGTGGAGGAAGGGTGTCCATAACTACTGATAGTTGGACTTCTTGTCAAAATTTCAACTATATGTGCATTACTGCACCCTTTGTTGGGAAGGATTGGAAGTTGTACAAGAAGGTGATCAGTTTTTGCAAGATTACAAGTCATAAGGGGATTGATCTAGGTGATGAAATAGTCGATTGTTTGGAGCATTGGGGTTTGCAAAATATTTTCACAGTCACAGTTGACAATGCAAGTGCAAATGACACGACACTTCTTCATTTGAGAGATCGACTTGAAGAATGGGGTACTAATATAGTTGGTGGAAAGTACCTTCACATGCGGTGTATCGCTCATATAGTGAATTTGATTGTGAGCGATGGTTTAGAAGAGATGGGCATGTCAATAAGGAGGGTGAGAGAGGCTGTGAGATGGGTTAGATCATCACCATCTAGATTGGCAAAGTTCAAGGAGTGTGTGGAATTTCACAACATTGAATCCAAGAAAATGTTGAGTCTAGATGTGCCTACAAGGTGGAATTCCACCTACTACATGCTTGAAGCTGCTGTGGTGTTTGAAGATGCATTCTCTAGTCTTGAGAGGAAGGATAAGGATTACAAGCCCGAGCTTAAGGTAAAGAGGTACAAGAATCAAGAAATTGGTGTCCCTCAACAAGAAGATTGGAAGAATGCAAAAGTTTTGATGAAGTATTTGAAATTCTTTCATGATTTGACTTTGATTGCATCCACTACTTATGTTGTGACTGCTCATCGATTCTTGAGAGAGTTTGGAAAGGTATTCTATCATGTTGAGAAAATGATGAATAGCAAGGATGATGACATAGTTAGGATGGGTATGAAGATGTAGGCTAAAGTTGACAAATATTGGTCGGAGAAGGATTGTGTCAACTTCAGATTTAACATGTTAGTTTACATGGCTATGGTGTTTGATCCGAGTCATAAGATGAATTATCCGGATCATATTTTCAAGAAGATGTGTGGAGATTTGAATGATGAACTCGAGAAGTTGTTTGAATTTATCAGAGTAAGATGCCTCCTCCTGCTTCTTCTTCTCCTCCAAAACGTCGAGTACAAGTTGCCACTTCAAGTTCACCGAGGTCAGCTAGTGATTCCGATGAATGTTATGATAATTATGATCCTGATGATGATTATGGAAAACCTCAAGTTGGCCATACTAAGAGTGAGTTGGAGAAGTATCTTGCTCATCCTCGAGAATATGATGATGTTTAAGAAGAGTTTGATGTGTTTGAAGTGGTGGAAGACGAATGCTATGAGGTATCCCATCTTGAGTGAGATGGCAAAGGATCTGTTTGCTATTCCTATGTCAACTGATGAGTTTGTGGAGCATCTTGATGGTGATGATGATGACTATGAGGATAAGAAGACTTCGTGAGTGATAAGTAAATTACTTTGTAGTTTTTAGTTTTGGCCATGTAAATGCTATTGTTAACAATTATATTTTTTTGATCCATGTCATTTAGTTTACAATGCTATTATGGTGGATGAGGCGGAAAGGTGTGAGCATGTGAGTGGACATGAAGGTACAAGTACGAGCATATATGCTGATGAATTTTCAGCAACATGGTCAAAATGGGCCAAAACAGGTCAAAACCGGATTGGGACCGGACCGGGTCAAAACCGGATTGTACCCAATCCAAACTTTGGTCCCTATATTTTCAAAAAGATCGGACTAGACCAGATCAATTCGGGGCGATTTAACCGGACCGGACCGTATAGCCACCCCTAATGGATTATCCTCCCATTTTTAAATCCTAGGTTTGTCTCCTCTTGTAGCCAATCCCCAGCTTCGTGCTTGCTCCAGTTTCTCTGTACATATATATACTAGCAAAACCCGCTCGCTATAGCTTTGCCTATTAGAAAAATAAATATTTTAAAGAGTAATAGTTTTAATGTTGAGCCAAAAGTGAAAGTAATCTTATTTCATTCTTAATCGTTCTTTTCATAGGTTTGTTATTTACAATAGCATATGGTCGATGAACTTGCATAAGGTAGAAGGATCGTCGAATAAATTATTTATGTTTAAACTTCTTTCATGACGCTAATGTTTGAATTTGTATAGCTATTAATTGATCCTACTGTAACTTTTGCAGAATGAAGCAACTTCTCTTGATCTTTTCAATAAGTGTTTAAAAAAAACTGTTGAGTGCTTAGCTGAAAACTTGCCAGAATTACTTTCTAATATAAGAGGTAATGGAAAATGACTAAAAAATATTTATAACATAAAATATAAATACAAATTCTAAAAATTAAAAATTATTTAAAATGGTATCATGTTAGATTTATTTCATGTTAAATAATACTATTTTTCAATTTATTTTTTAAAGTGATATTAATGAAACTCGCTCCTGCCGAATACCTGCAAACTCGGGTTCAAGTTGCTTTGGTCGGGTCGAATTAGGTTGTATACCCATGCTTTTGGACTCAATTGTCGTTCTCAACCAAAAGGAAAAAGATAAAAAAAATACTAAAGCGGATAAAACTCGCTTTGACCGGGCCGACTCAGTTTTAACAAATTCACAATTTACTCAACCTGTCAATTACAAAAGCAGATAAAACTCGCTCTTGACACGAAACGCGTCAACAATGGGTCAGAGTTCAATTATCATTCTCAACGTAAAGGAAAATGAGAAATAAAAAAAAAACTAAAGCGTACAAAACTCGCTTTCGATCTAAAACTGGTCAACAATATGTTCAACTCGCTTTGAACAATTTTTTAACAAATTAACAATTGGTCCTACCTGGCAACTACAAAAGCGGATAAAGCTTGCTCACAGTACAACACTCATCAAAACCTTAGATTCGGGTTCAATTGTCTTCCCAACCAAAAAAAAAATTTATAAATGCTAAAGTTTGTTTCAAGTCGCTTTGACCAAATCGAATTAGGTTGGATACCCATGGATTTGGGTTCAATTGTGATCATGCTCAACAAAAAGAAAAAGTGAAAGAAAAACACTAAAGCGAACGAAACTCGGTCCCGACACAAAACTCGCCAACATTGAGTAAATATGGTATGGATTTCCGGTAGCGACATTGGGTTCAATTGTGATCATACTCAACAAAAAGGGAAAAAATAAAGAAAAAACACTAAAGATGATGAAACTCGGTCCCAATACAAAACTCGAGGTAGCGGCCTTGGAAAACGATGGTGGGGAACAACTTACGATTTCGCCGACAGTATTTCGAGATGGGCTGCAAAATGGTGGACAAAGGCCATGATTTGTGTTCAAGTTAGGATACCCATGTGATTGGTGGACAAAGGCCATGATTTGTGAGATCGGCCGTCGATATTCGGGGCCCTGGTGATCTTGTTACGCTCACTGCTGCAGCTGGCACATGTACTAATCACATCCTCGGTTCCTAGTACGATGGTTATTTACATAATTGTCCGCCGGGATTACTAACAAATTTATCAATGAAAGTTTTATCTTATGACAAACTTTAAACAAAATTTGGAATGGGTAATATAACAATCATTTCGTTGAATGTAGGCATCACAAGTTGTCCTAATAGCCGAAATCGAGATTGCCAAAGGAAGCAGGAAAAAATGCAGCTATTCGTCTTTAAGATCGGGCAATGTCGGATGTTGATTCCACCTCAAGCTTCGTTTCACAGTCCCAAGACCAGCAGCAACTGACTCCAGCCTGCGATGGAGATCTTTTGCAGCACACTAAAAGGTTTGTCTCATTCTCTTCTATGGCTTATCTGAGAATGTTTATAGACAGAAGAGTCCTCAACTAATCCTGATGTCATCTGGATTACCCAATTTCCAGGAGCACTGAGATGGAAAAAGGTCTCTGTTCACATCAACAAGAAATCTCAGGTTGTTTATTAAGATTAAAAGCAAGCACGTTGGTGGAGCTTTCTCCAAGAACCACAAAGGTCTTCAACTTTCTGTTCATCAGTCTCTCTCTATCCCTCCATGTCTCTCTATCTCAGCATTCCTCTCTGTTAGGGTACAATCCAAGTACCACATCGGAAATACAAGGGAAGGAACCCTTGTATATTACAGTCCACCTAACCCAATTAGTACGAGTACTTTTGGGGAGGATACCCAAGAGTAAAACCATGAGGTCTGTCCAAAAGCGGACAATATCGTACCAATTGAGCGGCCCGATTTTGACACTCTTCTCTTCTTGTTCTTCCAACTCATACATGGCCATACAGAAAAGAGAGAGAAAGTTCTGGAGTTCAAGTGCAAGAGCAAGATTCAGAAGCAAAAATGGGTCGATGGGATTCAAACCCTGCTTCGTTGAGTTAATAGCATGGAAGCAACTGAGAGATCTTTGGAATTTTTTAGCATAAACAAAAGCATTTAGTCTCCGCTGCCACAGTTTTGTACATTAGAAACTCAACAACCGAATATGTATTCTGGTCTGAAGTCAACCCGCCATGTCAATTAATGTTACTGCTATATGTGGAAAAGAGAAAGGAAGCAATCTCTTTTCGTAAAATTTGCACCTAGTTTCTTTGTTTCTCTACACTCTTCCCATTTCAAATTCTAAACCAGATATATCGCATCCTCTGGGATTAACACAATTTGCGGTTAGAGCATCCATCAGACACTTCAAGCCAACTATGAATTGCTCTTGGTACTAATTCAGACAAACAGATGAGAAACAAACAACAGACAATCCCAAGGTGACAAAACTATGTATTTTGCAAAATTCCCATGTTGAATAAACGTAAGATTTACATCATTGTAGTTCACTCTTGCTTCTACTGGTTTGATGTATCAATCTATCATTTGATGAATGAGTGAATTGTACAGACTAAAATAACTACCTTCTAAATGCAAGTATCTAGTCTTTTTTTTTTTTTTTTTTACCTCAAAAGACGACAGTCTTGTTATGCTCATAGGGTAACACTCTTAGTTCACAATATGACTTTATAGCTTTGGCAAGGCATTGTTTTTCCAAGTTCTCCGACTTCTGAATAAAACTTCGAAGATTATCTCTGTGTGTGACTCTCTCAACCTGCATCCGAACAATAGCTCATATTAGAATATCATTTACAGGCTCGAGGTCATGTTCTAAAATGGTATAAACATATAGGTCAGCAGCCACTGGTACCATCTGTTCAATAATAGGCCCTGAATCAAGTTCTTCAGTGACAAAGTGAGATGTTGCGCCAATTAATTTCACACCTGCATCGAAAGCCTGAAGAGAACATGAAACACGTTATTTACGAGTAAGAGAAGTCACTTTACAGAAACGGTTCATTTTTCACTAAAAATGAGTTGAAGCCTAAAGCCAACCTGCTTAGAAGGGAATCCGCCTTTAAATGATGGCAGAAGTCCATGATGAATATTAATTACATCTTTCTCGTAACTTCTTAAAAATTTACCAGATAGCACCTGCAATAAATTAATCTGACTATGAAAACTTCTTATCCCCAATATATCACAGAAGAGAGAAATCAAAGTCCTAAATAGATCCACACAAATTCATTTACCTGCATGTACCTGGCAAGTACTAGGAAATCAGTATTCTGGACCAATTTCAGAATCTCCTCCTCCCTTTTATTCTCTGTGCTTGTGTCCAAATAATGATAAGGGATCCCATTTCTTTCGAGGAAACGAATCACATGTGTATTTGCACCTCTTTCATGGTTACTATTGCAGAAAGCAGAGAGAACCCAAATGAGCATGTATCAAGAATAAAGAGCCTACTAAGAATGGATAAAGCTCTCAAAACTCAACCTAATTACACAAGCTATGTCGACCGGAAGTTTTCCATCCTGCCATCCATGCAGCATATCAGTCAGACAATGTTCCTGCAACAAGTGACAAACAATGGTTTGTCATAAATTCATAATGCGTACACAAACACAACCGCTGGCTAGAATAAAAACAGACATCAATACCTGTTTTGAAGCAAGAACGGCAATTTTGTACTTTGGGTCTAGATCGGGCACCCTAACAACAGATCTCGTTGCATTGAACGATCTAGATAGCTTCATGAAATCCTCTTCCATCTGTGCCCTCGGCCATTTAACATAGTCGAAAATGAACTCACTGCACGCGTGTTGCAGGGGTTCTCAACAATCATAACAACAAAAAGGAAATACTAAGCTTGATTAAGAAATGTGCTTTCTATCCAATTATGACTAACAATAGCATCATTTGCTTGATAGACATACGATATCAACCCCATCGAAGATGACAGACTTTTAAGCTTCAATATTACCAATCACGCAATCCAAATTCCCAAATCCAGAGAAAAGAGATGAATCCAAAAATAATATCTCAAATCTGCATTTCAAAAAGAGATGAATCCCCCATAGTTTCTTCAACCAGCAACAGAAGCCCAACAACCCAAACGTTCAATGCGAATTCGAATGAAATCGTGTTACCTTCTGGAATAGAAAACCTCTTTGTTCTCCGGCACGAAAACGTCAGCTCCGAGGATGTTCCCGCCTCTGGAAGCAATGCAATCCGACAGCTTCGCAACGATACCACGAGCATCCTGTGAAACGGCAGAAACCCCATTTCAAATCGAAAGATGCAAATGTAATTACTGCGTCGATAGAAACAGGAAGGAAGTTATTGGTGGAGGGTACCGGGCATTGGAAGACATGGACGCCATAGGTGATGGATGAAGAGTCGAGAGGCTCGCCAGGGAATCTGAAGGACTTGATTGACCTGCTCGCGAATCCCAAAAGCTGGGGAATGAAGGTCGGAGGAATCTTCGTCCTCCGCAGAATCGGACTCATTTTCTCATTTTCTTCCCTTGTTTTCTCGGCTCTTTCTCCTTTTGTGCCCGAGGCTTGGCCATTCCTACCACCACCAGCTAAATTGGCGCCGTGCTTTTTTTGGGTGGAGGGTTGACGATGTTTAGTTGGAACTTCGGATAGGATAACCGGAGAGGATGAGGTACACCCAGGTTCGTGGTTAACGGATCAGTTCGAGTTGGACCAAGGAAGGAACCAACCAACCCATATTGAAATCATGTGGGTAAGTATGGGTAGTAATCGGTCGGTCGGTATACCGGATACCGAGTAGCCGGTATTCGGTATACCGGCAATTGAAATTATGTCGCCGAATACCGATACCAAAAGTTATTCGGTATATCGGATACTAGATAGTCGATTACAGGTGTTTTAACCGGGACACCGGATAGATCATTTTCTTCCAAAATTGCATTCATGAATTGTGAGTTCTAAATTCGCTGAAAATAGACCTTTCGAATTGAACTTACTTCCAGAGTTCCAGCTCCAGCCAAAACCTCGGGTTGTTTGACTTTTACTTCCTCGTCCAAAAGCAATACAATGGCCGCTTGCACCGCCGCTGGTAGATCCATTTTCCGCTCCTCCGCTCACAATTCGACGATCCGTGTTGCCTCCCAAATCAAAGCCGCTCCAAAATCCTCTTCAGCTTCCTCCTTTAGTGTTTCCGCCAACAAGTCTCTCTCTCGACCTGCCTTCAGCTAGGCATTATTTATTCACAACTGCATATTGGTTCTGTCATTGAATTGTTGCAAGTTTCTTCCTTTTTTTTTGTTTGTGTCCGTTATTTATGATTTCTTTCTGTTTTTGGATTGGGGATGCAGATTTCTAGTCGAGATGAGTTCTGCGGTAGAATCCATGAGTTCTGCGGTGGAGTCCATGCGGTGGAATCCATCTTTTCCCTTATTTAATATATGCTATTTCAGTATTCCGGTATACCGGATTGTCGTCGATATATTACCGGGTATTATCCGGTATACCGTTATGCCAAATCACGTCATCGAATACCGATACTGCCGGTATCCGGTACGGTATCTGGTAATACCAAATACCGGTTTACCGATTACCACCCCTAGTAATAAGTAATAACTAATAAGTAGAAGCTGTAGTAAGTGGTAGAGGGAGGTAAGGAGAAGAGGGGTCCTAGAACCCCACTTGGCAAAAATTGGGCAACAAAACCCCTTAAATGTATAGGTTTTAGTACGATAATTCAAGTTTAGGATCTCATAATCTCAACTATGTTAGCTCATTAAGGACCCCCGGTTAACTCAAAATTCATTAGGTACACAAGCATTAGTGTTAGTAAATTTTTAAGGACCCCAGTGAACTCGATGTCTGGCTATGCCACTGTAGTACAAACTACAAAACCAACATTAGAATAAGTTATTTGCAAAGACAAGATCCATGTACACCAAGACTGTGTTTACTATTCATTTAGATTAAAAATTACTATTCATTTACACCTAAAATTACTATTCGCTCTCTCTTCATTGGTCTGTTGTCTGTGCTTGGACCCATGGTGTGTTTTGTCTTGCTTTGGAAGCTTGATAATGGTTGGGCCGCCGTCGATTAACCCAGCCACGGGATAACTTTGTTTGGTGCGGGCGATCTTGTGGATAGCGTGTCGGCCTCAAATAAACAATCATTTACCCTGCTCTCTCGCTACCTTCTTGACCTTTTCTCTATGCCCTTCTGCTGCAAACCTCAAATCACATCTTCAAACCTCAAATCACCGTTGCTCTCTCTCAAACCTTCTGCTAATCATCACGACCACGACTTTCCTTGCCCAAGACTCTGCGTTTTGGAACAATTCACGGCAATTCATCAGCAATCTGGCCTCTCTCTGTTGCTTCTTCACTCTGCCATGGAAACTGCAGCGGGCTCAAGTAGGCGACTCTCTTTAACCTACCCAAAGCATCATATCTCACCCCATTCTTCCTCTCTAATTTTTTGCCAGTTACCACACTCTCTTTCTCTTTGCTCTTTTTCTCGCTTCTCTCTACGCTAATGTCTCTCATCTCTCTCTTTCTCTCACTTCTCTTCCTTTTTTGTTTTCGAACCACTCTCTCCTCCTCCTCTTACTCCTTCTCTCTGTTAAGCTTTCTCCAATGGCGAGTCTCTACGCTTTTGATTGCAAGCTACCAGCGAGTAACTAACTGCTGAAGTCGAGGATGTCATGGGATTCGGGTTATGTTTCATTTTTTCTTCTTCGTTTGCTGTATTGATTTACACAAATCCTGTAGGGATTGATGGCAGCCGGGGATATGAACTTGGTTTTTTCACGATGGGTCGGTTTTGGAGCAATGGCGCTTCGATTCCCTTAAGTCTCTCACCCCTTTCATTGCCCACCGATTTCTGAGGTTCTGCTCGATTCATGGTGAGATTCGATTTGCCAGGTTTGTTTCCTCTCTCTCAGTCTATCTGTGTCTCACTTAGATTGATTTGGGTGCTTTTTCAAATATGTTTTTGGTTGTAGCGTCTTCATCGATTACCATAGGTTGCTGGGTTGAGTGGCGGATTTGAGTGGTGCACACGTGAAGAGGAAGATCTTTCGTTTCCGGTGAGCTTTCAATCTCAACTTTTTCGTTTTTTGTTCTTTTCTCGGATGTTGATTCCCTCTATTTCGCTTCCAGATAAAATGATATCGTCGTCTCCGCCAGAGATATCAGCGAGGTTGTTCTCTCTCTCTCTCTCCTCAATGGATCCGATTCATATCTTCTCGACTCCAGTCTGGGGGTTTATATTGTTACGATTTGATTTATTTGGTCACGAATTTGATGTCGTAGCAATGAACGAATGACGGTAATGACTTCTATTTAGTATTTACATTTTTCTACCCCTAATCATCCCGACGTGAAGCTTAAGATAATCAAAGATGGTTAATTCTTCTTTACAGCTTGATCTCTGACTCGTCCCGAATACCACAATAATTTCCCCCCTAAGGTCCAAGTATAAACTTTAGTCGGGTGCAGTACATGATAAGTATGTTTAAATATCAACCCGGGACGGTCCGTCTACCCCTACTTCAGTCATTTGAATCATTATCTAGCAATAAAGTTTTGGTTGAAAAGTTTGCTAATTAAAGTAAAACAAAACAAAGGTGAATCTTTTTGAAAGCTCTTTTGGGGAAGGATCACTCGGGTGTCGCTTCCCCCTAACTACTACCATGGTATGTGAACCGAAATGATTGTTATGGGCAAGGTGATTGCTAACCGCTACGGGACGTAAATATGGTCGTAGACCACTGATAGGGCAAAAGCGCAATGCCTTAATCCTATCTCGTAGTAAACCGGAAAATCCGGGTATCGTCTCTCAGGGACTGGTACAACCTTAAGATTTACCGATTTAATAGAGCAAACTATAGGTGAAAATGATTTAATGAGATTATTAACTACTAGCAAAATTAACTAAACAAGCAAATTAAAGTGTCGGGTTTAAATCAATGGGAGAAAGCTCTGGGAGAAACACCGGGATTCACTACCTATCCTATGCAGATTAATTCACAGATGCCAATCAATTTAATCCATACCTCTACAGCCAGGATATCACGAATGTGCTAGCTATCCCTGTCGGGAATTACTACGTACTAAACAATCAATTCAAATCCTACTGTCGTAGCTCAATGAATTAACTATATAGTCTGAAGATCGATATCCTATTTAAGACCGCATAGCACCTTATTTCATCCACTGTCGCTTCGATAAGTTACTATGTCACATGAAATATGTTCAGTTAATAGGGTTTCACTGTCGCTAATAACCTAATCAACTACGATTCATTGTATTGGTGGCCAGTCAACACAAAGCATTAAGCAATTTCATGCAATAGAGATTGGAAGAAAAGAATCATAAATCAATCCATCAAATCAAGAAATAGCTACATCCTATGGTGTTTCCCTAGAAATTGGGGTTTAGTTCATGACGAAATTAAGATAAATCGATAGGGTTTTGTTCATCATGTTCTAAATCAACAATACACAACTAGTTCAGTTTAGAAAATCAAACCAACTAATCGCTCTCGTTGAACTCAGCTCTAGCCTTAAAAAACTCAATCACCGATGGAAATCGACTGATTGCCTGCTGCCCTGCTGCGCCGCTCCCTTTCTTTCTCCACAAGAAATTCGCCCGATAACAATTAAGTGCCGCCAGCTGCTTCCTTCCCTTAATTGCCTAAGAGAATTTCCCTTCTTATTTTGTTCCCCCTCCTCAAAGTTCCGCCACCAGAGACCTTTAATTCCCTTCTCGCGAGATTCTGTCCCCAAGCCTCCTCCAATTTAATTGCTCCAGGCCCAGCCCACTCAAAAATTGCCTCCCCACAATGACAAAAAGAAACGTCCTCCCTCTGCTTCTCTCCCTGGCGGCGCCCAGCTCCATAATTCTGGCCCAATCTTCTTTTGTCTCATCCCTGCTCCTGGTCCAAAAATTCTTCTTGGCCCATTTGAGTATACCATCAGTGATTCGAGTTCGATTAATTGCTTGTGCACTCGCTCCTTTTTCGTGCTTTCTCCACCTGTATCATATCAAACTCATAGCACTAGGCAGTAATAGTTTTTCAACCATTTCCGGGTTAGCGAGCCCTAAATTAGCACCAATCGGCTAAAACATACCACGGATAATCACATAAAGTCCAAGAATCCGATATATTAAAGCCGAATATCACAACCCCACACTCAATTGTTGCTTGTCCCTAAGCAACAACTCAAACAACACAAACACATAACCAACCATAACAATGACACACCACAGACTCACTAATCAAACACTCTAACAAAACAAAATTTTCCTTGTACTCTTGTTGTAATCAGTAGTTTCTTTCTCAACGGATAAGTTGTGCTCTAATGGTCATACCTTTCACCCCACACTCAAGTTCTTTGCAACCATTATCATTGACTGACTCAAATCCACCAAAAACTCAAATAGCAACACTCAATTTCGATCGTCGGTAGTGGGTGATTAACAACTTATGGTGCAGCAATTATTAGGAGAATCTAACCACATCAGTGAGGTGCATATCTCATGAGGACAGTCTGGCTTACTCACGCCAATCATAAGCAATTAACTAGGCTCGAGTCTCAAAAACAAATGGGGGAAGCCTTTCGCAAACAAGATTTTACTTTAAGCACATCACTACCTTTTATGACAAGGAGAGGCTTTCTCTCTTTCTGCTTTTGCTTGCCGAGAAGTCGTATTTAGTACAAGTGGGATTTGTTTCTTACTACCGGTGACCGAGCAAGAGCAATTTCTGCTTCTTAGCACTCGCATAAGAGCTTCTTTCAACTCCTTTTCCTCGGTCCGTGTGGAGGGTCATTTCACATCCTCTAATGGCACTTCACTCAACTGGGGATTGTACTTGATAAGCAACATCGTACGGTCGCGAACCGATTCTCAATTGAATCTTTCCTCATCCCCATGTGCAATGAGTGATTGCCTCACACGATTTTGGCATTTTTACCCACACTTTAATTGTTATGGCCACTTTCTTATATTTTACTTGTCAGGTAGTGTTTTCTTTTATAAAGATACAGTTCACCCCATCATAAAACATTCAAAACAGAGAGACTCATTCCCAAATCAAAAGCTCACAATTGATGCAAGTAAGCACGGTATCTACACATATCGAATGGTCAATGTTCTCCACCTAACCACTTCACCAAAAGTCATTACACTATCCTCACAAAAGAGAATGTTGCTAAAAGAGTTGCTCATTCAAAGCATATCAAGTCAGTCAAAACATTCAAGCTCAGTTCAACACTAGTGGGGTGATTTCGATGATTTCATTCAAGCACAAACTCATATCACACGCATCACAATCATTTACATCATGTTACCACAAGAGTACAAGGTTTTGTTTTTATTTTTTTCTGATTTTTTGGTGTTTTTTAGCCATTAGATTAACACAGGCAGCCTGCTTTTTACACAGGCAAACTGCATGCAGCTTGCCTGTGCTCAACCTAATGGCAGTTTTATTTATTTATTATTTTTTTTTTTAACACAAAACGAGACACTGTGGACAACTACGACTCTACATAAAACACGACAAGAACACAGACCATCCACCCCACACTCAGGATGGACATTGTCCACAATGTCTACAACTACACACGACACACCAATCGGTTCACCTAACTAACATTATACAGACCATCATCAGAAGTATTCACAAAGAGAAGAAGAAAAGAAAAGAAATAAGAAACTCGGGCCAAGCTCCTATGAAGGAGGGGTCGATGAAGAAGTGCCGAGCTTCTCATCTAGACGCCGGTTTAGCTCCTGGATCTTCTTATCTTTCTCTGCGTCTCTGGCTTCCAAGAGAGTTATTCTGGTTCTGAGCTCGTCTGTAGATGATGGTGAAGCTGGTATGACTGGTGGAGTATCTTCTGGATGCGGAATTGGAGTAGGATGGGACTGCTGGCCCTGACTGACACTCGAGTCCGAGTGTCCCGCTGCTGTGGGTGTAGGAGCTGGAGCTGTGGTCGGAGTGGCTACTGATGGTGCAGCAGATGATGCCGAAGCAGAAGTTGCTCTAGCAGCTCTTGCTTCTCTTTTCCGATTGACCTTGGTCTCCCACTCCTTGTATTTGGCGATAGATAGATACTCTCCACGAGATCCTACTTTCCTCAGAAAACCCAATTTGCCTAATGTTGCTTCCCCAAGCAGAGTCGAGCCATCACTGATCTCTAAACCCGTAGGGTTCTCCGGGAACCCCCAGTAAGCTCGAGCTAGGGCAGTAATGATTCCCCCACACATAATTGCTCCGCAAGTCTTCAGTGCATCATTTTCCAGCATCTTACCCACCATGTACCCAACACACAATGGTGTTCCAGTAACAAAACTGTGAATGTACCTGAGATCGGTGGTGTAGACACCACTGGCATTGGATCCCTTTCCCAAGACAGTGCGAGCCAGGTAGTCATGTACTAGTGGGATTATCGGGTCTCTGATCGATGCTCTCCTCGAAGAAGTAGGATTGAATTCCTTTCCATCCGCCACAATTGTCGTCCAAAACTCACTCAAGTCCTGCTTTTCATCAGGAATTGCATCTGCTGGACCATCGAAGAGAAGTGCTCGGTTTACTTGGCTCAAAGAGAGGGACTTGGTTTTCCCGGCCAAAGTACTCTGAAGCTTGCTCTCAACCCCATTATCCTCGAAGCTGTATGTGGCCAAGAATGCTCTGGTGAGGTGTGGATAGGTGGGGAAGTGCAGCTCCGGAAATCGTGCCCAATTCATTCGGCGGAAGTATGTCATCACTTCCTCAGCCCGCTCGGTTTTCTGCAATGCTGCATAGTCCATGAACTGAGAAGGGGTGACCGCTCGTTTCATCAGATCGGCATATTCTTCCTTATGTTTCTGCAGCTGGACAGGTTGACCGAACGTCTTAGAGACGTCCTTTGGAGGAGGAGTGCCAGCCTTCTTCTTGCTTGCACTTAGGCTAGTACGACGTGGTGTCATGGATGGTGCAGGTGCTGAAGAAGAAGACATCTGTGATCGTGAAGATGAGCTCGATTGCTGGAGACGACTCCTCTTCGCTGGCCTGCTCTCCGGTGATACAACTGGTGTTGAATCTGGTAATGGAGGTTCTTCAGTTGGCATTTGAGCAGGCTGCTGTGGTGTAGATGGAGTTGGAGAAGTCATCTCAATAGTCCGCGACCGCATCGTGGGTCCAACCTGTCCGGTGATCATCCTGTGAAATCGAGCGGGCATGTTGACAGCTTGAAGTTGTGGAGGAACTTCTGGAATTGGGCTGTCTTTATCTGTCACCTTGTGGCTGTCTTCAATCATCCACGAACGGTAAACAATCTTCCCATCTTCACTTTGATCGGTTACCTTGAACTGCCGAGGTGGAGGGGTATATCTTCGACGTCCCATATCTGCAACCAAGAGTGCAAACTGGAAAACAAACTTCTTAAACCTCCCCTCTGCTCTTGAATCAACAAGTTTGCACAAATCTGTGCTCTGCTTCCCAAATTCCAGTTCACTGCTACCACAATCAGAAAATCTCCAAATTCCACAACCCTCAAATCAACCAATTCTCAAGATGCACCCATAAATCTTCTGCAAATATTCTTCTAGACAGTAATTGCACTTCAATTGGCCCAATCAAGCAATCATCACACTCCAATGTCACCTCAAATTCGAAATTGAGCAAAACCCCCAATTTGAAGAACCCTAATTTTTTTTTTTTTTGTTCTTGAATCTTCAACTCTAGGTTGTTCAAATCAGACC